GGTAAACAATAAAAGCGATAGAGTGTTTATGTCTCGGAACTATCGGTCTGATAGTTACCCCTTGGAAATTTGATGTTCTTAAAACTAGCATATTTTTTTTAAGAACATCAAATTTCCGCGGGGCAACTATCAGCCGATAGTTCCTCGACAGAAACACTGAATTGTTTAACTAAGTATTTCGGTGTAGTGCAAAATTCTGTGATCTCGTTTCATAAGAACACTTAAAAAAGGAAGATAGATAAATTCAGTAATAACATACTGTATACACAAAGGAAAACGTGAAGCAACTGATAGTGCACACGCAAGTCGACTCAAAAAGGCACAGGGATAACTCAACAGTGGAAGATCGTAAACGCAGTATTTTAAATATAAATTAAAGTCCAGAGTTGACGAGGCAGTTTCGCTTTCGCATAACGGAAATTCCGAGATTTCGTCTGATACCATCGATGACAAAAGGAAGAGAGATAAATCTGGTAATTACACACTGTATACACGTTTTTCGAGGTGTGCGTTTTCGAGGAGTGCGGTCTGCGGTCTGCGGTCTGCGGTCTGCGGTCTGCGTTTACGAGGTCTGTGTTAACGAGAGACCTGAGAGAATATTGCTTAGTACGATTGTACCAAAAATGATTTCATATAGTAAACGTACAAACGTTAAAATTGCAATAGCGCTTGTGAATTCTATATTTGCGGCTAAAGTCAAGGACCAAGGAACGGAAATTCTGTGATCTCATTTGATAACGTCAATGACAAAAGAAAGATAGATAAATCTGGTAATTACAAAAAGGAAAACTGATGGTGCACAAGTCGACTCAAAAGGCACACACATAATCTATGCCAGACTGGTAACTCAACAGCGGAGAATCGTAAACGCGATATTTTCAATAACAGTTAAAGTCCTGTTTTACGTGGCAGTTTCGCTTTCGCATGGCTACAAAATTAAAGAAACGCCGCGGCCCAGCGCAAACTGTTGATGTAGGAGAAGTCAGTCGAAAAACCGATTAAAATAATTATTACGATCGAGTAAAAGCTCCATAGTAGTGCTTACCATTACAACCACCTACCACCCCTGCCTGAATAATAACACTCTTCCCTCACCCCTCCCTCAATACTAGTCGAATGCACCCACCCCTCCCTGAGTACTAAAGGTGTGCCTCCCCCCTTATAAAATGGTCCAAAAAATCGTCCAAAAAATGGTCAAAAAAATCGTCCAAAAATAGTCCAGATTGTCTTTATCTAACAAGATTGTCTTTATCTTACAAGATAAGGATATTCAGCTGAAGAACTTTCCTTATCACTTCACTTTTCCTTAGAACTTTCCTTATCACTTCAGATAAGTTCGAGGTAGTAACGATTATCTTGTCAACGTGAAGATAGGGCATAAGGAACCATATGAGTGACATGCGCAGAAGCTGAATTTATCTTGAAAATGTCAATATTTTTTAAAAGTCAGTGGACTGTCCTTTTCCACCAGGGTACTAGTTTGTACTCACTGAGTAAAACAGAAATCGAGATGCGCTTGTTTTCGTGCCATTAGAATCTCTTGGTGAGACATCATTCCACGCTAATAAACCACCAACAGCCACACATTGAGAGATGAAGTAAACCAGAATCTGTCAACATTGATTTGCCCGTACTACTATTGACCAGACACACTTCCCCAAAAGTGATATTGGCGGTGCCGTATCTGCGTAACTTCTTTCAAAATTGTAATTGTATTAAACTAACAAAGAGATTTCTTCTTTCACGAAAGGATGGCCATAGCGTTGAAGTGATTCTTACCATCACATTTCTGTCCGTCTCCTTGAAAACCTCGCTCACAAGCACAGTTTCCTATGGAATCGCACGAAGCATTGGCACCACAGGTAACCCCTTTACATTTATCACGGGCTGCAAACGTTGAAAATGATGCGAAAATGACAAGATAAGGGGTCTTTCTTTCATAAAGTTAGTAAATCATTAAATATTTTCCGTGTTTTAGAATATTTTAAACAGTAATCGGATTAAAACTACTCAAGTCATTATTGCAAGCTAAGTCAAGTTATATCAGTCCAAATTGTGGTGTGTGAGGTTGACATTTGCTTGCAACCATGGCAGACGAACACCAAAAGATAAGCTTATTTAAGCAAGACGTAAAATAAAGCCGTACACCCCTAAATCAAACATGAAGGTCATATGAAGAAAGAAATTGTTTATCAGCTAGAAGAAGCCCTTGCTTGTTAAAGAAATTCTCGCTGTCAGCACCTTGGGAACAGTATGGATATACAGTATGGATATACAGTATGGATATACAGTATGGATATACTGTATACCCATATTGGGAACAGTATGGATATACAGTATGGATATATATGCAAAAACAAAACAAACGAAGATCAACAACAGAAGAAAATATGAGTACAGAACCTTCAGTGTTTAACTAAGAAGGATATGAAGGTAGTGTTAGGTGACTTACGAGAGCAGCTCTCTCCGTCGCCTTGGTATCCTGAATCACAGACACATTTCCTCGAGTTTTCCTCTGTATATAGGCACTTGGCATTCGAACTACATGTCACTCCCTCGCACGTACCATCAGCTACAAAAAGAGCCAAACTTTAAAGTACGAGTAAAAAAAAGAAAAAAAAAAACATGTATATGGATATACAGTATGGATATACAGTATGGATATACAGTATGGATATACAGTATGGATATACAGTATGGATATACAGTATGGATATACAGTATGGATATACAGTATGGATATACAGTATGGATATACAGTATGGATATACAGTATGGATATACAGTATGGATATACAGTATGGATATACAGTATGGATATACTGTATACCCATATTGGGAACAGTATGGATATACAGTATGGATATATATGCAAAAACAAAACAAACGAAGATCAACAACAGAAGAAAATATGAGTACAGAACCTTCAGTGTTTAACTAAGAAGGATATGAAGGTAGTGTTAGGTGACTTACGAGAGCAGCTCTCTCCGTCGCCTTGGTATCCTGAATCACAGACACATTTCCTCGAGTTTTCCTCTGTATATAGGCACTTGGCATTCGAACTACATGTCACTCCCTCGCACGTACCATCAGCTACAAAAAGAGCCAAACTTTAAAGTACGAGTAAAAAAAAGAAAAAAAAAAACATGTATATCATTCATTGCCGTAAAAAGCCAGTCTAGAAATTTGATAAGCTCTCGTCGAAAGGGAACAGCAGTCAGCCTTGAAAGAAAATTTCGAAAACGGAGCCAGTTTCAAGGTCTGTGTTATGTGTATAGCACGGAAGAGAGTGTGGAACATGATTCTTTAAACGCTAACTCTATTGTAGACGAAATCAGGTGTTTGTAAGTTTTATCCTATTTTAGAAACGGTCATTATCTATCGGCTGGAAAGGTCGGAGGATTTTGGTTGTGTCACTGCAAAATTTACCTATAAAGTCCCCCCTTTATACTCTGTTTGCGACAACTGATTCCCCCTCCGTTCCCTCTTCAAACCACGTGATCTCCCCCCCCCCCCAAAAAAAAAATAACAAGTCATTCGTTAATCGACCTCGCCAGGTGATTGATTATGCCCTCAGTTCTCCAATTTGAGGGGACATTAATTCTGGATTAATACCCTTAGTATATAGAAGCCGATGAATAGAACATCCGTGTAAAACAAAAGGGACAGCTTATGATTGCACAACAGATTGAGTGCTTCCTTGGATTGTGTCAAAAAATTAAGGGGGGGGGACCTAGGCTAAAACACCTGGGCGAGGCTAAAATACTTACGTTCACAATTAAGTCCATCCCCCTGGAATCCTGGATTGCACTTGCATTGCCAAACAGCCACGCCCTTAACGCACTTTGCCTCTGGATGACATTTAGGACACTGAAATCCTGTTACGATAAAGAAAGAAATTAAATATCTAGGAAAGACATCAGTGTAACAAGCAAGAGAATCCTGACTGGGGGGAAAGGCACTATGTATCACAGCCACTAACCTTCGCATTTGACACCGTCACCTTGGTAACCATCGTTACAACGACACTTCTCAACACCGTTATCACTCACACATTTTGCTTTTGAGTGACAAGTCTCTTTTTGGAGCCCACACGGATTACCATTCCCTTGTAGGCCTTGAGCTGTGAAGAAAACCAAAATAATATTAGACTTTTGACCCCTAAAAGTGAATAACATTTAATTCATCTTTACAATATCACCACCGAATCACACATTAAGGTTCCAAGATCACATGATCACCAACAAAGAGAGAAAAAGTATGGAGAATCTACACTTTGATGTTAGATTGTAAAGGGTTCATTTCATCTACTACCGAAGACCAATGTCGCAATGCGACACGTAGTCGAGAAGGATCGAGGCTGCGTAAAGAAAACTGCTCTAACTGACGTTCGTGAGAATATCCAACAAAGTTTTGTACAGGAACTCAACATTCGAAGAATACTCCTCATCCGCTTTTAACCGCAACTCTTATGGCACCAGAGAGTCTAATTCATTTGCCCTCAATTGATCAAAACGTTATTGGACCGTACGTCTCCAAACTCAACTTTTTTTCAAAATTGCCATTCTGCCACCTTACATCATGACATAGTCGCTTGAAATAATGATTCAGACGACTTTTTTTTTATCAAAGAAAGCGACGAAGCATCGATAGTATCGCAGACGAATGGTTATTCAGCATTAACCTTAAGACTACAAACAATAAGTGATAAACATCGCTGCGGTTGATCACATGGCCACCGAACACAGGTCATGACATTTCCTTTGACTTATGAACTTACCGTCCGGCAGGGAAGCGTTGACGATATTAGAGAGGATGGCCACGGATGAATACTTTTGTTTGGAGTCATATTTGGTCAGCAGCACTCTGGACTCCACATCAAAGCTATAGAATCCATGGCCGCATCCTTTTAGCTCATCGTATTCGATAATTTGCTGGACTGAGAAGCCATAAGTTTCATCTCCGACTCGAAACGCGACAGATCCTATGGATTCCACTTTTCCACGGTCTTCGCGTCGATACACTACTTTGAAAGGTTCCATTCTGACGACAGAGTAAGGGTCGATGCTGGGAATTGATCCGTTTATCGTCGTATCCAAGGCATTAAGACGACCGCTGGGATTTTTACCCATGAACTTCTGAGTTATGCGTAATTCTTCACCTTTAAGAAAGAAAAACGTTATTTTACTTCTTTCTTCGTTCGTTCTTTCATCCATTTCTATATATCTATTTATTCAGCTTCACCAAACTCGCCGCTGATTCGAGGTGACCGCTTAACGTTTCACTGACTTATATTAACGATCAATGCATGAATTCCACTTTGAGTCGTAAGAAAGAAGAAAGAAGAGAGTCAACTGGACTTAACTGTTTGGATACTCTTCTGACTTCCACAGCTGGTGGTTTTGTGCTCTCAAAAAGAAAATTAAGTCGAGGTTGTGAAAATGAGCAGCAGAGCTACGAGTGGAGTTTCTCGACTCATCTTTTTCATGACTGTCTAGTTGCTCAAATCCTCCAAAGAACTATTTGATATGCAGGTATACATAATATCAATTTCTCACTACTACCGAAGAGAGAAACTTAAGGAAATTCATGAGGAGAATTGGCCCTTCGGTCTTAATAAAGTAAAGTGAAGTTTAACGCTTCTTTAACGAAAACATACCAGAGTCAAATGTAACAACTACACTTCTTTTAATCTTAGCTCCAACGACGCCGAATCCATTAGGAACGCCCTTGGCTTTCCTCACACCATACATCCAACCAACAGCATCAATTAACGGAGTAAGAATCTTCAAAAAGTGCACTAAAGCGGGCGGTGGGTTCCGCATCACTGCGTAGACACGACCATCTTTACTGATAGCGATAACATCTAGGGTGAGGCCATTGATTTCTACACTGTTTACACTCCCATAAAACTTCCCACTTAAACGAACTGTAGTGCCTGGAAAATAAAAAGCGAGAAATCTTCAAGTCAGTTAAACTGATTCAGTTTTGAAGGTTAATTGGTTGTTTAAGGTTATGGAGATTTTTTTTCCTCTCTTATTCATCGCTTAATTTGTTTTCATTACTTTCCTTTTATTGATTAACAATTCCAGATAAACTCAAGTGTAAGGAAGTATTCAACTTAATATCGGAAGCAATTCCCAGATAGCATTTACTTTGATTTGCTTCGCTCTGTTCCTGGTAAAACTATCGCCTCCATCACCCGATCAGATCGAAAACTACAGCCAATCGCAATATAAGCGCTCGCGTTTACCAGTTGGCTTGTTTTACTGTGGTTTCAGGTAGAATTTTCCTGGGATTCTATGCTGGTACTACGCCAGGCGATAACTTTTTTTCTTTTCTTTATGACACTTAGTACAGAAGTTTTTTTTTCCTTTTGTTGAGTGACGGTCGGGGAGGAGAACAGGGATTCGAGGCACACTATATTGTAAAGTAGGTAAGTTTCTAAAGAAACTGTGGTGCCAATAATTTGATTTTATTAACTCAGTTGATAGTATATGTTGGCAACTGAACAGAGTTTTCCAAACTGACAATCTGATCGTTAGCCCTTCGTCAGAGCGAATCACTCTGTAGCGTTTTATACATGGGATACCACATATAGTATTCGTCTTAATGGATAGCAAAGCTTAAACATAGGGGAAGGTGAAGTGCAAAGAAAAAACTATACAAATTTGTTTCATTGACTGGTTGCAACATTACCTTCCTTCACACAGTCAACACCATTTCCAAAGTAACCATCGTTGCATTGGCAACAGAAACCTGGCGCGATATTCTTACATATAGCATTTGGATGGCATCGGGCTACTCCGTCTTCGCATTCATCGATATCTTTAGAAAACAAACCCAATATATTTGTAATTCAGATATTCTAATAGATAACTAAGCAGGCCAAAAATAATGTAATGACAACGCATATACTGGTGTAACAACAAAATACCAGGGATATTGCACGCTCACCAGCAATTCTTTCAGAATTCTCATCAGCAGACAAGATGGAGCTAGCAACAGCGTAAAACAGCGAAACAGAGTTTTTTCCACCACAGAAATCCTCCTCATTTACAACACATCGTACTTTACAAGACGAGGTTGGCAATTTCTGCAGCCCCCAAAACTCTTTGTCGCCCATACAGGCACATTCGTTGCCGTCATGGAGCGCCGCATACTTTTGGTTTCTCTGGTGGCAGAGAATCATGCATGACCGAATACCCACTCCGCGCCATATTTGACTCGTGTTTCGAGATGAAATGTAACCGTGTACTTTGAAACATCCTTGGAAATCTGAAAGTAGGAAGGATTTTAAAAGTTTAGCCAAAAAATTTGTTAAAAAGTAAAAAAAAAAACAAAGAAAGCTTGAGATTTACACACTTCAGAGATCTAGCATAGCATCGTTCTCTCTTTTAGCTTAGAATCAAAATTTTCACCACAAGTGAGATAAGGAGGGAAATCCTTTTCTGCTTTCAAGGTCTAAAGGTCAATTTTACTTTCACATTTAAAACGAGTAAGACGTTTGCTCGTATATTCGATACTTACACTGGTCAGGTATGAAAAAGCGCGATATTTTCGAGTTCTTGGGGCTGTAGCTATCCGCTGCATCCACATTCAAGGTTCCCATGTTTTTCCAACCAATTTTGAATATCCATTGTCCTGCATGCTGTACGTTGGACTTTTCAAACAAGAATCTGACTTCTTCGGTTCCTGAACCGGGCAATAGATATGTCCTAAAAAATACAAGTTGAAGATACTATGACAAAATAAAGAAAATAAGGAAGAGACAAATAGTCAAACAACTCGACTATTTCGTTTTCTTGAGAGCTACGAATAAAATAAAGATCGAATTTTCATCACAGCCGCATTAAAAAAAAAAAAAAAAAAAAAATCCTCCAACATCTCGAGCTTCAAGATAAATTTAAAGGGCTTGAAACGATGGGAAGCTCCTCGTATACTTTTCTTGATCTGCTTTGGTTAGAGTACTTCGTTTGAACTAGAACTTAGATCGAGTTGATCTTATAGTCTGATCGTAAGGGCATATACTTACATATAAACATATATGACTTTATCTTATTTAGAATGTACAGACAAATGTGTAGCTTAGTAGCTAATACCTCCGAGGGCGGTCTTGAAAAAGGCAGGCGATGACCTGGTTTACAGTGGAGAGTTCAAGGTACATTTCATGGGAACTAAACCGTCAATTTAAAGCTATTCTATTGGACTCAAGATTTTAAAAGTACTATTTGCGATTGGTCAGTTTTTTTTTTTTTTTTTTTTCCGTCAGTAGGCCCTTTTAATGTTTTTTTTGTTGTTGTCATTGTTGGTTTGTTTTGTTTTTTTTATGCGCGGGGGTTTTTCTGTCTCTGTACCACGTGGTGTGGCTGATTCAGTTTCTTTGGTTCCCATAATTTCAATAGTAAGATACGATCCCGAGTTACATTAATGGTTTATAAGCGGGTGCAAAATTTCAGCTGGTAACCATTACTTATAATATTTTGGGTGTTGTCTGTGAGTAAAATGAGTGCATGTACCTCACTAGGTCCCCCGCACTGAAGCCGACCTGTGCATCACGATATCTTTTGCCCTGGTACCGTACATGATAGCCTTTGATCCACTGTAAGCCATCGTCTTTGTAGTTAAACACACTAAACGTATTTATCTCGTCTGTTATGAGAACAACTTGAAATGTGTTCGTCTGCAAAATCGGACGACAGTACCCAGTGTTAACCCCTTAACCCTAAAAGAATGACCGACATCTAATTCCTCGCTACAGTACCATCCTTGAATCAGATGAATCAGATATACAAAGGTCACAAGAATAAAGGAAGTGATCGCATGTATATTCTATAAGTTCCTAATTTTCAAACAAATTCTCCTTTTCAGAATCAAAGGAAATGGAGAGACAAGAGTGTGGAGAATATAAATAGAGGATATTACACAGCCGCGCGGGGACAAAAATTTTATCTTCGAGTGCTGTAAGCATCTCTCACTCGCTCGCTTCACTCACTCGTGAGTGATACTTTCAGCACGAGAAGATAAAATTTGTATACCCAAGCAGCCATGTAATGTTATGTTTATTTTATAGATACTGATGAAATTTCCACATAAAACACTACTTTTTTTAATCATTTTCCAAGCAGCAAAATACTGCAATTAAAGTGGTCACCTATCACAAAATGTTGTGAAAACCGGATATAAAGTTATAAAGGAAAAATAAAGACAATAATACTTATATTTTCTGTTCCAAAAAGTCAAAATTCGAATAAAAAAAGTAGTATAATCATGTTAGTAACTATGGCGACACCAGTATCCTCACATAGTATCTTCACCGCGTATGATGAAGATATGATTTTTTAAGTAAAATAAAAAATCCTGGTATTTCATCAGTAGCTATATAACAAATATATCTATGTTAGGTGTAAAGAGTTAACAAAATAATAAAAAAAAACAAAACATGGTTTAGTTTGGCTTTTTAAAAGGAAATTTTTTTTTGCTTTGCCATGCGATTTTGTTTTCCTTTTACTGAATCGTTCTAATCCTTAATACAGACAACTGGTAAACCTTCACAGACCTAATTTTTTAAAATAAACTTCGGGAAATTGTTTTGAAGCTGTTTTTACCTGGTTGGTAAGTTTTCCATCCGCGGAACGCTGTACAACATCCTTCCATGTAGAGATAACGACACCTTTAGCTAGAAATCCCTCATTATTGATAAAACTAGATCGAACATATTTTGAAGCTTTCTTTAATATAGTTTCATTCCTTGTCTGTCTAAAAAATATTGCACTGGAATCTACCAGGGCCACAGGTGAATAAAACACTGCAATGGATGGCGTAGAAGGAGGAAATGGGTATCTCCTGTGTCTTTCCTCGGAGAAAGTATGTTTTCCAAGGGTAATAATTCCATCGGTGTATACCTGATGAAAATTAATACATAGTGACCTGTGTTATCTTCAGTGCGGTAACTCCCTTAGGTGACCAATTTAACAAGCCGGAATCTTATCTTTATAATATTTACCCCTTCAACTCCCAGAGGTGGTCAACGTGTAACTTCTCCCTATTATAGCCATACATTATCCAGAAAACACGTAATGAGAATACTGAAACTTATCAGGTACAAGCTATCTTTATCTAACACCAAATTCTTGTAACTAATATACACAGAAATGTGTAACAGCTAGAGGGGAGAATTAACAAGCAGATCTTGGAAGTTAAAAGTTTAAACATTATCAAGTAGACGAGTGGTTGAATAGGAATCAGAGAGTGTTCTTCAGCTTGCGAAGAAAGTCCTGACCTATAGCCTGGGGCTAATTGATTTTCCACTTGGGGTAATGGCTTGACTCATATCTCGCCCTAAGGGAAAGCTACAAAATTTCATTCTCCTGTCCGCAGATGAGGAAAGGTCAGTAAAAAGAACCCTGGGTCTAGTTGACAATGTTACCAACTTGCACGAAGGTCAAGCGGTAAAATCGGTCTTATTCCCAAACTCTCTAACCTACTTTACAAGGAAAGATGTCGGAGCGAGATGTGGAAGTCATGAATCGAACTTTAGTGGTGGAAGGTAAAGGAAAATAGAACTTATAGTGGTAAAGATAAATATATGTAGCTTCTATCATTACGATGTGCTAACTAGATTGAGCTTTGGACATCTATTCGGTGCGGGCGCTTCTTTGGACGAAAAATTAGGGATTTTTGTGGCCTCTTGAAGACGTCTTTCAAGAGGAGTAGGTTAGGCAAATGTTAAGTTCAGCTGTCTGCTTAATGTACTTATCCAAGAAATTTTTACTCGCTTAGCTGGTTCTTAAAGGATGCGTGGACTGCGAAAGAAAAACAATGCTACAATTTTTAAATTTTGTTGAATGTAAAGCATTCATGAGTCAAGTACTCTTAATCGACGCAAGATAAGCCATTACTGATGTGCGTGACCAGTTGTAAATCGTTTGCATACTTCGCAAGGATAAAGCAACTTGATTTTCACCACAGAGGGCCTTTCGATAGTCTTCAGTTATCACTGAGAGAAAAAGCGAGAAAATGTGTATTTTGCAAAGAGATTCTACTCCAGTGAAAAAAAACCACGCCATTTCTTGTTCTGATCAGCTTAAAGATCAAGATAATCACCTTTTCTTTCAACCGATCACCATCAACGAGATCAGAAAGAGACACATTAAAGCCGACTACAAGCTGCAATTTTCAAAAGGTCATGAGTACTTTATATTTCAGTAGCCTGAGAAAAGCAGCCGTCCCTTCGCTCCCTTCTTTTCCACGCGAAAATCTCTATAATAAATCGTTTCGCGGTCTCCCATTGAGTAAGAACTCGGTGTGATTGGAAACTCGCGGGAATTTTTCTGCCAAAACTGCCCACCCACGAACATCGCAAAGACAAACCTCTTTTTGTACGGTTGATTTGTAAGGCCTCCCGCGATTCGGACAGGCAAACAGTTTACTTTACTGATAACCCGGGCTGCGTTTGTCAAATCGTCGGCATCGTGGAATTTACTCAAAATGTCTCTATGCTTCATCAACGTATAAACGTCAGGTTGTTGGAGTTCAATTGAATCACCGTCAACGATTAAATGTAGTTAAAATTAATGCAATTGTGAATAAACCACTCGGTAGTTTCGTAATTTTCCAGGTAACTGATTTACGTTTAAACAGAGTGTTGAAAATCTTCAGCAGTTCTTGTGAAAAGGCTTGACTTGGTGCACTTCTCATTTCTTTTATACAGGAAAACTGGACCTATGGAATCCACCAAAAGGTCTTGGGATGCGATATAAGCCATCATGTTTGATTTCCTCTCAAAACAGTTGACGGCTCGTCAAAGGCAAGGAGCTATCTTTAACACAAAACAGCTTTTTACGAGTCATTAGCGCAAATTCCTCCATTATCAGATTTATTAGTTAAACAGCCAGACTTCTCGCCTTTAAGCTGAGAAAAAATCGACACCGGGATAAGCAGCACTGAGATATATAAGTGGTTAACAAGGGGGCGATTTAGAAAGGTCCGCAAAATACATTAGGAGGGTGTTGCTGAAATACCTCGCGCAAGATTCCACAACATCAGATAACTTTGATGTTGGCTTCGTCGCCAAAAACTCAGTGAGCCACCAGATAAGTCCAAATAATCGTTTTTAAGTTTTCTTACCCGTAGATCGTTGTAGTCTTGGTTGTAAAACGAGTAGGTAGAGTAGAGGTTAAACACATCACCAAACATATGCTTTCTGTCTGGAATCTTAACATCCCCGGTTCCTTCGCCAAAAGGAAAGAAATCCTCGAGAGGTACACTGCTCGCGCAGGCGAGCAAATGCAGCAAGAGGGTGATCGAAAGCATGGCAGGGAATTGTACGATTCGCTTCTACTCTGTGGTCAAACTAGGAGCGCGCCGAGCATCTGAAAAGCGCGCGAGGCGGTTGTGTAAATGGACACTAGATCGATTTATATGCGTGTTGAATGAACTTAGGGCATGGGGAGGGGCATTGTTTGCACACAATCAAGTTGACAGGAAACAAACAAGCCAACACTCATTAGTTCATTGACGCTAGTTAGATGAACTCTGAGCAATTTGAAGGGTTTCACGGAAAAGTCAGTTGTCGCGAAGTAGCGACACCATGTCGCTAAAACATGATTATCAGGAATTAAGAGGATGAAGAGGACTCAGTTAGGCAAGATGGGTTCCTGTTTTATAACTCATGATCAGTCCACTTCACTACGGTTACAAACGAATAAACGAATACGAAAGGTCCGAGAAATATTGCGAAACGTGAGTGAATGTTGTAAAAAGGGTTAGCAATTTAATCGCTTAGCTCCTTCTGTTTGCTCGATTCCATTTGGCGGTCTCTTCATTTCCGGTTGTTTCCCTCGAATAAAAGATGGTTGTTAACGATCTCAGTCATATCTTGGGACCCTAGAATTAACCAATGAGATTTTCAATCTTCCCTTAAATGAGTGACATCGTTATGATAGAGTGCATTAGAATTCCCTGCAGTAGAAAGTCAAAATGTTCAAGCTTCACTCCAATTCGTTCGGTACGTTCTTTAAAGTTTTAGCATTGTAATGCATACAATTAAAACCGACTTCTGGTGTTGATCTGAGAACATCAAGGTCATGTTGTTTATATCCGGTAAATTTCCTGTTGAAAAGGGGAATTTTGCGCCAACGCAGCAAGGGTTTGATTCAAAGAGGCAGGTTGCAAGTAATTGCAAGTTATGATATTTCATTTTGTATTAACCAGCCATAGAAAAATTTGTTTCTCGGATATTTAGTGACATTTTAACCATGTTGTGGGCCAGTAAACTACCTCTTTATTTCTATTAAACGCGCACCTCGCGGGTTAAAAAAGCAACAGCCTCTTGGGTAACAGACAGTGGCGCATATCAATTGATTCGCAGGCGAGAGCTAATAGATAATGCACGAATTCAGCGAAAGAAAGTGTGCAAACTATTCGTAGATTACTGGTAATATCATCCTAAAAATATCTTTCGCAAGCGACAAGCATAGAGAGAATAGTTGGAAAACATGTGGCTGTTAGACAGGTTGCAATGGTGCCCTCTTGCTACAGGTCATCATGCATCCTCACATGTCAATGATTTTTTCTTTGATGAGATTGGTTCTAGATTCTTCGGCTTCAGTCAGAACGTGCTCCTGACGAAAACAAGAGAAATGGCTGGAAGAAGCGAAGACTTTATTCCAGTAGTCTGTGTTCGACCATGGGCGTGATTTATGTCCAATTCTAACTCTTCCATACTCTTAATCCGATCAGTACTTCTCCTTTTACAAAAAATAAAAATGTAAAGAAAGAACAAGGCTAATATCGAGCCATCCGACCTAACAAGTTTGGTCAATAAAGGATTTACTATGTGGCCAAAATATTTCGCTTAAATGAGTGGGCAAGATAGGCACATCTTGCCCGCTCATTTAGCTAATTAGCACACAGGATTCCCTTCATATTACCCACGGGATCTGCCAGCTTTATAATGAATAACTTCTTTATCAGCTCGTAGAGCGGGTGAGTTTTTATTTTTCTTAGGAAACCGCTTTGACGACTAGCTAAGTCAGGTGTATCGAAATCAAAGTAAAATAATTGGAAAGTCATTATAAAAAGGCATATTTTTTATTATTATTTCACATCAAGAGATCTTGATGAAATCTTCTTCACATGATTTTTCTACCGGTAGCCTAACAGACTGATATTATCGATAAAAGCTGGAATTTTCAAGAGAGTTTTTGTAGTACTTAAGGTACCCTTACCAAGACTTATCGTTATTAACCTGTTGATAAGATTAGTGATCGTCGAAACCGCTGTCTTTACCACCAACAACTGTCCCAGGACTACTCACCCGGGCGATCGGACTATACTACTCCCGTGGGTTCAAACCATTTACTGTAATAAGATCATCCGAGCGATCAGACTATACTTTAACATGTTACCCCGGCTCAAACCATTTACAGTACTGATAAGGTCACTTAGGCGACTAGACAAAACTTTAATACGTTACCCCGGGTTCAAACCATTTACTGTAATAAGATTAAGATGTCTATAAAAGATATAAATGCTGTCTGCGTGCCAGCCGAGTGGTTTTTCCCATAAGTGTCGAGACCTGAATCAGTCGAATAAAAACATAACTCGTAGATAATAGACTTACCTAAAAAATGAGAACTAGAAACTGTAACTCTTGTAGTGCGTTAGTGACTGTATAAAATTCGCGATGTTCAGTGATCGGGAAATCATGATATTTAAGTGTCACTCATCGAACGAATTAGATAGTGGGAAATGTCTTCCTTTCATCCATAACGTCGATAGAATGATATCACAACCAAAGTGATCCCTTATTCCTTTAAGTCCCAAGAGTGACCAAGACATAGTTTCTCATAACAATATCAATACCATTTCAAGCAGAAAAGTGACGAGAATGTACAAAAATATAAATCAAGTGACTATTGGTTGATCCAATGCCAAACTCTTCAAACTAACATCATAAGAAATAGAAGACAGTAAGCAGAATTATTAATGAGATCTCAAGAGTTAAGGAGTACCTCCGCAATTGTCATCTATCACATAATTTCCACTTATACCGCAAAAAGTCTACATCGGTGAAAATTAAGGGGAAAACACCTTTGTGACGCAGAAGGGAAGGACTGAGACTCGTCTAAACTGAAGCAGTCGCCAGTCATTGGAATCTGTAATCTCCGTAATTATTCTTTGCATCACAAAGCAGTTTGCAACCTTTTTTTGCATCTAGCTATGAAGTTCAGAAAGTCGACGATAGGTGCCATAATTTTGTCTAAATAGCCAGAAATAAGTTGGGCAAGGCAGTTATAGGTAGAAACGAAACTTCAGGTAGGCCATTTGATCAACCTGGTGCCATTTTGGCACAGGAAAGAAGGACACTGTTTGAGATATTTTAGATCTTAGCTACATAATGAAGTTGTTGAGAAGATCACGTTTCCAAGCCGTCCTCTGCGCTCTTTAGTTACAAGTAGTTGCCTTTGTATAGCAAACGTATAATTTTATTCCTGAAAGTTCAATCATTTTTATGTAATGTGTATGGGGTGGTTTATTGAATTGTTCAAGTGGAAAACAACATCGACAACAGGCTGTTTTATAGCAAACTTAACTACAGTTTGTTGGAGCCTGGAAAAAGATTCTTTATTGGGGTTGAGATATCAATAAACGGTCCAACACAACTCGTGAATCTTCATGATCATTATTATTTTTGTTTATTTTTAACATCACGATTTAAATCAGTTGGTATAGTCATAAATAATTATCATGATCATTCTTATCCTGAAAGTGGGCTTTCGGTAGTTAACTTCTCGCGGGTATAGCTCTTCTCCATAAATATTATTTGAGTGATCCGCCGCAAGTACGACTGCATTTTGTACAGTAGTCTATAACGACAGCTCTTTTGCTGGACTCCTGAAAACAGAAACAGGAGAGGGAAAATTGACAATATTAACGCAGTTGTAGTATAGATCGGTGATACAACAGAGACCTTGGTCTAAGACATATTGTCTTTTCATCTTATGATGCTTTTTGTTTGTTTGTTATTGTTGGCGTGGTGGTAGTAAGGGGAAATGAGCGAATTTCTCCCTTTCCAACTCTTTTTAGTCCGATCGCCCGTCCTTTACTGTGAAACATTGAAGATTAATCCAGTACGAATGTTTGTTCCTTTTCATTTCTCCTTGGCTTCCCTCCCTTTCGGTTCCTCCCCCCTCCCTTGTCCGCTCTCCATCCCGTCGGGCTCCTTCCGACCCACCCTAGGTTTCAAATCTATACCATTTGGGTAAGAAAAAAGTGATTCTGAGAATCACTTTGTAAATGAAATAAAGAAAACAAAAAGGTCTTAAAAAAATGTTCAAAAAAACTAAATTCAGCCATGGTAATGAAAGGAAACTGGGATTAACACAATAACTATCAAGAACAGAATACTTATTTAGGTTGCGAGTGTGTGTTATTTTCAGCTTTCAAGGTTGCACTACTTGACCTCTGAAAGAAGAGTATTTACCAACACATATCCCTAAGATCAGGGTGACCGCGAAAGAAAAGCATGCAGCACCACAGTAACTTGCCGGCCGTTATATTTCTGAGTTCTGCCTCCCAAAATATTCCTGATCGCAAGTAGGGCTGAGTGGAGAAATATTCAAGAGTTTTTTTTTTTCCCTTTCACCAAATAGGCGGGTGTCTAACGTTTAAACTAGAGCTTCTTAAATCAGTCGCTCTCGCGATAATGAAGTCTGGCAGAGTAGGAGAAATTTGTCTTAAGAGAAATCAGTGTATTACAGTATCATATATCTGTTCGGTTTCTTTGTCTCTGTATCAACTGATTATGGAGAACTACGAGAATAAAAGGGAAAACTTGAATGCAGTTTTGTCGAGTACTAACCTCGGCATCTGTCTCAAAAGAGTTTTGCCTTTTTCCCTTGGGCGGTATTCCGCCAGGCCTTGGCAATCCGGCAGAAATTCCTCTCACTTGGACAGTGAAGGAAGCCAACAAAATGAAAACGGTGAACGATAAGACAAAGGTACCTTTCTTCATTTCTGCGAAACGTGGTTGTAGAGAGGACGAGCTGCACTGCAAACCTGGTCAATCTCAGCAACTGATTGGTGTTTCTCTTTTCGAATTTGTTACTTATATAGTCACGTAAGAATGTTGTTTTACGAAGCAATTACCTCCAAAAATATAACGTGCGTACAGCTGGTGTTGGTAGATAAGTAGAAAAAAAATCATTCTTCAATTAATTTTCAGGAGGCTTGTGTTATTTTCAATTCAAAGCGAAAAAAAAAAAGAGAGATGAGGACGCCATCGTTCGTCATGGAGTCTGAACGACACCATCATACAGTAGAGATAGAACAGCAGGGATCAAAATGTGGGTGCGTTTCCCTATTGTGTAAAAGGCGGTGTATTCATCTGAAAGAAAATATAATAGAATAAAACAGCGTGTAGTACGGGTTCAGCCTGCTGAGGGAAACTGCTATTGCTTCCTCGTAGGTTAAAATTTGTGGAACTGGCATGCTGGTAAACTCTAAGACTTTCGCTGACACATCAAACAATATACTGCCAAAATTGTTTGCTTTGTTATAGCGCCACTAGTATGAAGGTTCGACTACATCTGTCCATCCAAAGTTCTCAGGGAATGATCACGCGAAATAAGAAAAAAATGCGCAGAGACGAATTGTCGCAAGTAGAAGTTTGGATGAAAATCAAGAAAAACTCTTGAAACTGAAAACATTGAAAAGAAAACTTGAATCGACTAAATTGAGGGGGGGGGGGATACTATTTTACAAATATTGCCCTCTTGTAAAACCTGAAAAACGTCACTCCAAACTGATTTGAACAACGCCATGATGCACTGAATAGGAATGATAAAATGTGGGCATGTCTGTCCCCTAACTAATTGGCCGTGAATTCATTTGAAAGAGGAACTCAAAAAAGGTGGAATTGAAAGTGTGGCTTATGCATTCAACTTTCTGTGTGTGTTGGCGTCCTTCGCAAACGAAGATAACCACAGACACCCTTATTTTTATATCTTTGCGTGGCTGATCAGTCCAATCTGTGCACGTGGCAGAAGAAAAACTAGGTTTCTCTAACACTCGTGTAGAATAGTTCTTCGTTTCCGTGTTTACTACTTAGTACAACTCTTCCGTTCTGGGCTCTATCTCTCATCTTAGGCAAGATGCTGTTAATCGGCTTATAGCGGTGACTGTTAGGCTGTCAATCTTTGGCCATGGTCACCATAATCGCACTTTACTAACAAATCACGCTAGGCTACGTGAAACAGATCCCGCATCCTAACTAGCGTCGAGATTTTGACCCTTAACAAAATAACTTTCTTCTTATAATTTCATGATCGGGCGATGTAAAAACAAGATAATTAGCAGTATGAAAATTATACTGAACTTTCGGTTGAAGTTAGAATTACACTTAAAAGAGATATACGAAGAAAAAAAAATAAAAGACTGTTACATCACAATGAAATAAACAAAGGGTTTCAGGAAGAAAGCGTACCCAAGGTACCCCTAAAAGAGCTTCTTGCTGTTCGCGCAAATGACCTTATTATAAATTCAGAGCGGGGGATGAAAGGAGAATTTACTTATAATTATAATCGCCTTAAAAGAAAGAGGCGTTGATCGTGCCAATTAAAAAATAATAGTAATTACTTTCCTCATCCGGAATTCGACATGGGTTAAGTCTAAAATCGATTAGCTTAGAAACTGATCATCCGTTTTCATGTCAAATTCATGATAGGAGAGTATAGAACTTAATAAAAATGAATAGCAGCCTAGTAAAAATATTTTTAGTACAGTTAGATAGACTACTTTTCTCACAGCAAGAAAATATAGCAAATACTTTAGTTGTAAAATAAGGACCGCTAAGGAAATAGGAGATGACCAATTAGCTTATTATATTTTTGCTGAATGCTTCATGATGATGTATTATCTCCATCCATTTTCCTAACAGATAGATAAATAATTTAAAAACACGTCTACAGAAAATTCTTTCTACACGCCAATTTTGTCTTTTAACGCACGAAATAGTCAACCACAGGATGGACAGGTTTGTGGATACTGCTGCATGGATTTGGTAGGGGAAGTCGCAACGCGCTCTTTCCTTCGGTTTTACTTTTCTTCTGCCTTAACTGTTCGTCTAGCCACAGTACATGTAGCCCATTTCCTAATGATACTTTACTAGGCAGGCCTGTCTTCGGCAGTTCGCTCTCATGTCACTGAAAATAAACAGTCAATATTACATGGCCGCGTGTGGATACGAATTTTATCTTCGAGTGCGGACAATATCCCTCATATATGCGCGAGAAAAAAAATCTTATCATCAAGAGGACATTGAACGTTCTGTTTATTATGAGATAGATTTTAATTACATAATTCAATCGAAGATAATTTAAAAACGAAGAGCACCAATTGCAGTTACTACCAACATACTACATTATTATTTAGCTCGCAGAAAAATAAAGCAGGGTATTTTTTCAAATAATAATGATAAAAAAAAATTCCGAGGGAGTTGCATTTTTGTAAGTAACGCACATGAGAAAAAAAAAGAAAGAGGGATTAAAAAGACTTAATTTATAAAAAGTGAACCGCCAGTTCGGTTGCTATCATCGAGATCAGTGTTGAAAAATACTGCAATGGTACGTTCTCTGTGCGGGCTGAAGATGTTTATGAAGATGATATCCGCTAAATTTGTCCTCACTGGCACTACAGCCTGCAGACGTATGGGTAACCTATATTAATTGCAAGTGTTTTATTGGGGCGAGATAACGTTGCAAGCTCGATCACCGTCGTTCATTCAGACCGGCCACGTTTCAGTTAGAGTTAGAGTGCCGTCAGTGAGGGGAAGGGCTGGGGAAAGGCGAGAAATAGTCAGACTTGATGGCATACGGCTGCTAACCAATTGACTTAATCGCTTTATGAAGACATGAGAGCATGAATCGTTCCACTTGACATTCCACTACAATTGACACTTATGGTAGCGATGAGCACCAAGGAAACCCATCTTTCAAAACAAAACAAACTGACTATTTAGAGCTACTTTTTTGAGATAACAAATTCCCCTTAAATCAAATGTAAAAGTCAGGAGAGTAAGGGAAAAATTATCTTATTCACAAATTGAGACAAAAAAATCACCGAACTTTGTTTCTGGTACTACCTCATGACCATCTCAATCAAATTCTCCTTGTTGATGCCCTAGGAAAGGTAAAGAGAACAGTATGCAGAAGACGGAACATGATGTAATTTTGGTGCCTCTTTCAGTGGCAGTGGTTTAATTCTAAATAGACTTAAGCCGGACTCTACAACTTTATTGAAAGACGCCATAATCAGCAGGTGTGATGCCTTACGAGGGATGATTGTTTTTTTCTTTCATTAAATAATGCAGTAATCGTAGAAAATGAAATAATCATGCTGCGAAGAAAAATAAAACAACAGCTTTTTTACGTAAACAAAAGGCCTCTTGTATTTTCAAACAGGGCTAAACAGTTATTTTTGGCAAAACTGCGCTCTTAAGCATGCTCATTTTAACTTAACATGTTATTTTAGGGTTAGCCTGACCACGATCTAAAAGACTTTTCTCATGGTTCGTAATGTTTCTGCTTATTACCGCATTTGTTTGAACGGATAACAGAGAGTAAAATCTGCATCCAGATCTTACCGAAATCATTGAAGAATACTGTATTCATCTATTTAATTATTCACTGATATAGATATTTCAGGACCCATTGTTTTCTCCCAATCAAACTTTTTGCCAGCCGGTGCGAAATATACGCTCGTGGCAACCAAAAACCGGAATAAACTACGTCTCTCCAACCGTTTCAAAACGGTGGTGCGTTCGTTTAACACAACAAGACTGAGTTCGTTAAGGAAGATTTCATCCTGTCTCTTTAGAAAATGTAAGTTTCGTCTGACACTCATGTGGACTGCTAAATCACTGTATGGAAAACGAGATTAGTGAAAGGGACGGGGCAGATTTTGTAGACATGACTCTTGCAAACGAATTAATTTGATATCCCGTGAGGATTTCGTGAAATTGGGCTTGTGCATAAAGTATCTGTATTGTTTTCACGTCATGTCCTCAAAGTACTTTTTCCCCTTATCATTATGCTATCTTCTGTAACCGCCTGAAATAATTTCCTTCACTATTCTTTTTATCGCATGTATGGATATTGCGGAACATTCACTTCTTTCATGCTTTGGTCGCTTCCGACTTGCCTTCAACCGAACGCGGCTCAGTGGATGCCTCTTGATTTGTAAAAGAAAAAACCCAAAAACAAAACGAAACTACTCTAGATTTAGGAATCGGTCGCATCTTAAAACAGATTACTATGCTCCTTTTTATGAATTCAAGCCTCCAGATGGTAGAAATGCATCAAGCACTCTTCATTTTACAGCCTGCACTTATTGGCTATAATGATCAGCGGGCACTTCCTCGACTGTTCACCAGTCTTCGCATGGTTCGAGTTTAGGCTAGGAACGCCTGGAGCTTTTCACATGTCTGCTTTGTTGAGGTCTGAGAATGAAACTGCGTGTGTGTTTTCGACTCTTTGTGCTCTGTTTTCTCACTAGTGAAACCTTGTCACAAGTAGGCATCGATCGAAATGATTTAGGAGACCTATACAAGGCTTTAGCGAATGCTCTGTCCTTCTGCAACCGCGAATACCACAATTTGGATTCGAACGCCTTATTTGGGCTGCGTGTGGCACAAGGTAGGCATCGTAAAATTTAGAATATGGGTATTGATGATATCAGTGAATGTGTTGAAATTATCTCAAGGAATGAACTTTTTCTTTATCCTCTACCCATAATTTCCGGTCTGCAACTTTCTAGCGGTGTGGTTCTAAGTGCATTACTTGTCCTTAATTACTGTAGAATTGCATAATTGAATAACATCTTGCATTCTTATTGGTTAACAAAGAGAGATTTTAGCATGGAATTGAAAGCAAATTCAAACAAAGAATATTGTGGCTTTTTTTTTCTTATTTTTATTTAATTATGCCATTCGAAAAAAACAGCACAAAAACATAACATAATTTATTTTATTTGATAAAGCAGGTTAATTAATGGTAGCGAATGCTGATGGGACCTGCTCTAACAGTATTAAATATCATATAAATGTATGCAAAAGTAAGTGGAAAAAGTATTTTACAGATGAAATGCAAATAACTAGTTAACTAAAATAAATTATTATTGTTAAAAGTATATAAAATCATTGATGTTGTTGTGCCTTGCTGTTGAGTTAGAACCAAATGAAATTACTTCTGTAGACTTGTGAAATTAATTTTCTTAAGGTGGGTTTTAAATGAGGTAAAGCTTGGAACAGCTTTCAGCTGGGTTGGTAAACAGTTCCAGCGACTACACTAGCACGGTGGATAAAGGAGTCATGAAGAACTTTAGAGTTAGAATGAACAAGTTCAAATCTTAAGTTGTTCTTTAGGTTGTAGTTAGTTCTGTGTTTAGAGAAAAAGTTTGTAATACTATCCGATGTCAATTTGTTGTAAGCCTGGTAAGCAGTGCCAGCAAGTCTTTTTTTTACATATATAAAGTAGAGAGTTCCATTTGGCCCTGCAAAGATGGGCTTAAATTGTAAACCAATCTGGCAGCACATAATGTGAGAGTCTTCGAGCTCGAAAAATAAGCTTGATGATCCCCAAACGAGAAAACAGTAGGTGGTACTTGGTAAGATTTGAAATAGATTGATTCCAAAGTGGGTTGGTCAAAGGACTTCATCTCTTTGAGTTTGGTAATTTAAGCATTGAAGTTAGAAACATTTAATTTGATATGAGGAAACCAGCTAAGTTTGTTGTCCAATGTAACCCCAAAGCAAGATGAGCTGGATACACATTTGATGGGCTTGTCAGCTAAAGTGATAGGTTTGATCGGGTCGATAAAAGGAGACTTGGACATAAACATAATTTCTGTCTTAGTGGGTTGGATAAACAAAAAAGTTGGATTTAGCCCAGTTGTGTAGTTGATCAAGAAGATTTTGAATTTGGATGGAGATAGTATCAATTGAGTTAACAATAAAGTAAGCTGTAGAGTTGTCTGCAAATATTTCAAGGTTAGAATCTAAGTAAAGAGGAAGATCATTTGTGAAAATACTATTTAAAAAGCCCAGGCCCTAACAGGCCATTACTGTAGTGTTGTGACGTAACATGGACATGCGCAGTGTGGCAGCACGAGGTCGGACTGAGGAGTGTGTTTTAGAGTTTAATAAAAAAAGCTCCATTTCTACATAGCGAACTGCATCATATTCCACAATTACCATTACCATTCTACTTTAAATTATAGGCTTGATAACTGATATGGCACTTATTGCTTCACTATTCATGCAATATCAGTTTTCACAGGCAATTTAACATGGAATTCCCACATCAGGTAATGAATTTCCCTATAGAATTTAACCCTTTGTCAATCATGACTTGTTTGATAAATCCTTTTTTCAATCTTTAGTGATATTAATTTTGTAATTAAACCTTGTGAAGTGTCAGTCTGATGGCTGAATTACCTTTACCAGTATATTAACATGATAACTCCCAAGATGTGATTGATTATTCTCCCCTGTAGCCACTGCACATTTCGTTGTAAATTATTTGAGTGGATTTGGTGTTAGATCACAAAAACAACTTCTATCAGATGATTTCGAGTACATAATATTCTCATTTACCTATTTCTTGGATAATGTATGTACAATATAGGGAGAAGTTACATGTCTATCACCTATCACCAAAGGACGTGAAAAGGACCTAAAATCAGCCATTTGCAACCGCAAACAAATGTTTTTCCCCGAGAAACATGACAGTTTAGAACCCACTTTCATGGGAACTAGTTTCATTGGAACTAGTGTCCATTGACTTCCATACTAACATGAATTTTTTTTTTCAGACTTTATTTTTACTACTGCTTAAGTAAAGTAGTGTGCCTTACTTCAAAGATCACTCATATTCAGATCATCTGATAGGGTGTGGGAAAAAATGGAAAATCATGCGTAAATTTTCAGCAATATTATGCGGAAGAAAGTGATGATTATGCGGAAAAGATGCCAGATTATGCGGAAATTTCTGAAACTTAATAAAGCTGTTCCCTTGGCTTTTTCCAACATACCAAATACACATTAACGTCTTAACGAGAATTTTAGTCTTTTATGACATGTTTGACCTTTTGCTGCCGTTCGTGGATAGGTACGTCTTTGTTCAACACAGTTTTTTTGTCGTTTTCGTTGTTGAGTTTGTCGAAAGTTTAGTAACCAGCCATTAAATCGGACGAGGAAAACTGGACACTGGAAGTCCCAAAATGTTAAAACAAAAGTAGAACCCAGGCCCATCACCAGAAGATGCATGGAACACCTGACGGTTTAAAACTGTTTACGTACAAAAGGCATGCTTTCATCGCTGTTTTGGCTGAATAACTTCTTCAAAATGATCAATATTTTTGCTTCTGAAGATGGTAAGCAGTTGCTTTCTCGCTTATATGTAGAATTTTTTTAGTTTTATGGGGAAAAATGCCCCAAGGATGCGGAGGATGCGCAAGTAGGCAAATTATGCAGATCCACACCACCGCATCCTGCCAGATGCCCTGCATATTCATTTACTAATTCACAGTTCACATATATCATTTTCATATAACTCACAGATATTTGTTTATCACTTTACTGACAGAGGTTTATTATGAACCAACAAAATGATCAACATCCAGTTGAATAACATCCAGCTTGTCTTGTTAGCCCAGTTGGTAGAGCACTCCACTGGCATTACAGAGGTCATGTTCAGGCTCTCATAAAGGCCCTAGCCTGGTTTTCAAAGGTTAATTAGTGTTAACCATAAGAGTTAAATTTTAATCTGGGTTTCAATATTTCTCTGTTCAAAAGCCGTTCCCAATTCTTTTGAGAGCATTCAGTAATAAAATTGTAGGCTTGCAAGTGGAATTAAACTGAATTTTCTTTTTAAGCTTTCAGCTCTGAAATAAAATTTCACGCTAACCCTGGGCTGTCTTAACCCACCTTTGAGCAACTCGGCCCTGAAGTTTTTCAGGCTTTTATACTCTCACTACTGCTCAAGTCATGTATATTACTTGGAAGATCACTCCTATAATTATTCATTTAAAATGTCTTACTTATCACTGAATCTTGTGAATTGTCTTATCTCCTGTGCAAGCTGTAACACTCATTGATCCTCATCAGTAGTACAGTTTTGTTTTCGGAGTTACTGTAGTAAATTTAAAATTTAAGATTCCTTTTGCCGTATTGCTAAATTTTCAGTATATTTATTGGCAACTTCATTGTTTACTCTCAGTGCTTGTTGAATGTTTGCTGTGAACCAATGTTTTTTCAAACCATGTTCAGCTTGATTTTTATGTTTCATTTCACCCATTAGGATACATCAACAGAACTCTAGCAGATATTGAAAATGGTAAAATCAAACTCAATCAAGATGTTCATAGCAACGTGATAAACCTTCTAAACAAGACGAATGAAGTTGTGAAAAACATGCTCCCTCTTCTCCGGAAACACGATCCTTTGTTTTATTCAGTACTGGATTCTCCATGGACTTATTACAAACCCTACAAAGTTCTGACACTACAGGATGTTGGTGAAAGAAAACATATCAAATCTGGTGATATAGAAAAATATTCTAACTGTGTTGGGGAAATTGTAGGAAGCAAGGAGAGCTTTATGGAGCCCTGCACCATATCTGATTATTGCTGGGGAGCTATGAAGATAAAGGGTGCTCCTAGTGAAGTGCTCTATTATCAAGCTTTATTCTTCCTCTTGGGGGAGGCTTCAGGTGCCGTAGATTTGCTTTTATTTCACTCCCCTAATCTAATCCTTAACCCTTTACATCCAAATATCAGTATGCATAATTATGTGTATAAGATGTATTATTACTTACCTTGTTTTCTAAGTTCAAGCAGTAAGTTATATAGCCCCATTTTTTCCCTGCTTATACTTGTGGTCCACGCAATTTGCTATTGGGCCCTAAATCAGAGTGCAAAAATTTGGTCCTTAACTTACAGTTGAGACCTCAAATTCCACTAGTAAGAGTTATTCATGACAGCCTTATTTGCAACCAAAATAATGTTCAAAAAATATAAATAAATGAAAACAAAAGCATGGGACGGTAGGTAACAATATTTATCATGATATTAATAATTGATAATACTTTAATTACAGCCAAGCTCACTAACAGTCACTGTATACAACCACATATTAAAGTATGTGGTATACACATGATACTGTACATAACAGTTACAAGTACACACAGTAATGTGCAGGACTCAACACTACTTTTCAACTTACTAGCCAAGTGGCTAGGGACAACTTAAATGTTTACGACAATTTCAGTTTGTTTACTAGCCAAACTGACTAGTTTCTACTAGTCTGTGGCTAGTTGGCTACCACTGGTGTCATGCCCTGGATGTAACTGAATTTATTTGAAATCATTGGTCATTTCTTGTAGAGTAACTGTATAATTATTGTTTGATGCTGTTGAAGTGACTACGGTAACACCAGTAGCATTGAAAACTGTTGGAGGGAAATTTAAATACTGCATTCCTGGGATTTACCCATGTGATCCCCAAGAGTGACTAGCATCTAATTTTTTTGCTGATAATATCACCTCTGAATCAAAACATGAAGGTGACGAGAATAAGGAAATGATCACCACTCAATAAAGCACTTGATTGTTAAACAAATTCTCCTAAGTGTCAGCACCATAAGAAATAAGTAGAGAACAGTATGGAGAATAATTATTATCTCTGGCTTCAAATAGAAAGATAATTATCAATTCAATTTAAACAAACTTTTGAATTCATTGAGCTGTACTATGAAATAGGGCCTGCTAATTTGGCCAATCACAGTGCATGTACTAGCTGAGAGATGTGATTAAAGGCTGTTATGTTGACAGAAATCCTCTCCTACTCTTACTAGCTGTCCTATGATTTTGTCTTAATTTACTTGTTTTTTTTCTTTGAACATCATTTCAATTTGGTGGCAAACAAGGCTGTCATCACAAGCTGTTATCACAAGTGAAATTCTCTGGTGATGACCTGGAGACCCACCTACAGCACATCTGCACTGTGGCCTATTTTAGTAATGCATGGACACAGTTTCAAGATGAAGGGGGTGGTCCAATGGATCTTATGTTGACTTTGAAGTTGAGCTTTAGCTGTGGATTGTTGGGATACCATGAACTCCTCACAGGGGAGGGGTTAGCAAATCTTATAGGTTGGCAGCTAAGTAGTGGATGTTATGGAGATTCCAGCAGAATGGATGAAGAAAAAATGAGGTTTGTATATTTTAAAAAAAATCTGTTGTTAAAGCTTTCTGAGGACTCAATCTTAAAAACATGTGTACTTTCTTCCCTCCTCAGAAAAAGTAATTATACCACAATTAAGTTTTTTTATAGCATTTTTCTGATTTACATGAACACCGTTCATTTGGCAGTGAGGGGTTTTATTGAACATGAGCCATGTGACATTAACATACCATAACATCAGCTTGAGCCATGTGCATAGACTAATACATGTGCAGAAATACTACTTGACTCTGCATAAGTCATATACATGTACATGTATTTGTCATTCAAACGTGATTGGGAGATAGGAAGCTTTATCATGGAACTGCTGTGAACTCTGAATGGAGAGGGTCTAGGTTGAAGCCCCAATACTTAACCTTTACTGCCCCTTTTGCCGTCCAGGGGTGTAAAGCTGAAAGGCAGGGTTACTTGCAATAGACATGCATCCCATGGAAATAAAGTTGAAAAAGTGTGCACTTGAGTTAAGTGGCCCGTAAGGTGCCGATGCCTGTTTCAGAAGTATGCCACCCTCTAGATGGGATGCTACTCCAATGCAGTTTCCCTCCTCCCTTCCCCTATCCCTTAGATTTCCTCAGGCTTTCCCTAATGTTTTCTCCTACCCAGCAATTATACTTCAGGGTGGAGACTGGCACAATGAAGACAAAGTTCCTCATCCAAGAACACAGGACAATTACGTGGCTGGGCATCCCAACCAGGGTGGCGTGTGGGGGGGGGGAAGGAAGAGTAGAAGTATTGCTAGTAACTGTGTTCAGACCTGACTCTGAGTCTAGAGATCATTTCACCAAAGAAATCCTTGAATACAATATTTATCTTGTTTATGTATTATTTTCCTTCAGTGAGACAGACAGAGGAAAAGGAAAGCGTGAGTTGAAGTCATCCTACCTTGGAAGTGAGTATAAATTGACTGACTATCTGCCTAACTGTTCACTGACTTGATTGATCAACTTACAGACTGAGATATCAATGGATAGAAGGACAAAATGCGAGAGAGACTGGTAGACAGTTGAACAGTAATAATGAAAGGTTGGAATATTTGGGACAGACACCCTGGTTAATGAGAAGAGAGCAAGGTGTCTTTAGCTTGCCAGAGTTGGCCACTTAAAAGAATGATTTTTGTAAGCAGTCACCAGAAGGGCAAACTGTATGTTTTTGCCCATGGCTTTACTTGTTGCAAGCCCAATAGTAATTCGACTCATCAGCCAGTTTGTTTGTTTGGTTTCTGCAGATGGTTGCTTTAGTGACATCACTGGAGTTGGCATAGGACTTTTATCTCTCTACCTAAGGTGGGTTCTGGACCCTCCACCCCAGATCCAACCAGTAGAACTCATAAAGAGTGCCAAAGAAGATGCCGAAACAGTGTCAGTCTACATGTATATTCTTCTCTTGGTCACTGCAGCTTTTCTCTTTGCTATCAGAGGAAGAATTTTGGAAATGATTTCTTTCTTTAGAGGAACCAATAGCTACACTGTAGAGAGGTTACCAAGTTAGAAAATCAGGGAGGGTTACTATAAAATTATTTCGTCAAAGGTGTTAAAAACACTTAAAGTGCACTTAAACCCAAAATTTTTTTTCGCGTAATGAAATAAGCTTATTTTTTGGAGTATTTCTGTGCAAATTTTATTTAATTTGCTCAAATTTTTAATTTTCTGTGCCCAGTTAAAAATTAATACGGAAAATCGGCCGCCATCTTGCCCCACGACTGAGTTTAAAGAGGAATGGCTCTAGCGGGTAATGTGACGTCAAATCGAGAACACGAAAGTCTGCATTTCACACATTTTCACTTGTTTGGGAAGGTTGTCGTCGATATTGTCCGAAATATGCCGACTAGGTGTGTTGTGTGAGGAATGTATGAAGCGCGATACCCTCTTGCAAATTTCGCACGTTGCTACATCCTCCTACAACACACTTAGTCGGCATATCTTTGGACAATATCGACTACAACCTTCTCAAACAAGTGAAAATGTGTGAAATGCAGACTTTCGTGTTTTTGATTTGACGTCACACTACCCGCTAGAGCCATTCCTCTTTAAACTCGGTCGTGGGGCAAGATGGCGGCCGATTTTCCGTATTTTGACTGGGCACAGAAAATTGAAGATTTGAGCAAATAAAAAAAACTTTTTGCACAGAAATACTCCAAAAAATATTATTTCGTTAAGCGAAGAAAAAAAATTTTTGGGTTTAGGTGCACTTTAAGGTCACGCGAAGAGACAACATTTTATAATTTTAAATGTGCGATGTCTAGCAGATTAAGAGATGCTGTCTCTATCTATATTTATGTGGATCTGACTTTTGTAAGCCTACAGTTAATGCATCAACCTTCTACAAGTTACTAGCATCTCATTTCTCCCGATATTACCCCCTGAATCACACGTTAAGGTCACAGGAATAGAGGAAATGATCACCAACCCAATAGGCTCTTGATTTTTAAACAAATTCTCCTTGTCAGCACCTTAGGGAATGTATAGAGAACAGTATGGAGACTTTACTTACTAATGTGTGGGTGTAAGGGTTACATGAGACAACGAGGCACCACTGACCATCATTTTTTTTAGGTAGCTGCAGGCTCACTGCACAGTGACTGGTGTTGTAGCATGAATCTATAATTACACTGTACATGTACTCGTTTGCATTGAAAGCATAGCGGTCTTTCGCTTTTATTCTTCTTTAGCAATATTTTGAATTGAGTTATTTATTGAACGTATTTAGGTAGCGTAGCGTCGCTATTGTATTTATTCAAGGCGAGGTCAGTGCTGCCTTTTTTGAACCTCGGAAACAAAGACTTACAGGGCTCGACACTAATGGTGGCCAACTAGCCACAGACTAGTAGAAATTCAGTTTTGGCTGGTGATTTTCGATTTCCACTGGCCAGTTTGACTAGTAAACAAACTGAAATTGTCGTAACATCTAATATGCCACTAGCCACTTGGCTAGTAAGTTGAAAAGTTAGTGTCAAGCCCTGACTTAGTTACTAGAGTTATTCATTATTAAGTTCAAAACACGTCAGCAAACCTTCCCTTATTGCCTCTTTCTTGTTCTGATGATGTATAACTTTTCAACAGCCATTTATAGCAAAAAAAAGGGACCAAGGCATCATGTTATCACTTTCATTCATAGGAGCCACTGATAATTGGCTTCTCCTTACAACACTAACATAATATCGAGCAGAAAGGCAATGAGAAATGGGTGCAAATCAAGAGCCCTTGGACCCCCAGGGTCACAAGACTAAAGGGAATGATCACCAGCTGAAGAGGCTTTCGATTGTTAAGCAATTTCTCCTGGTCAACACCTTAGAAAATGTATGGAAAACAGTATGGAGAGTATGCATACTGATGTTAGGGTATCAAAGGGTTAAGGGGGCTCTTGTTTGACTAAACACCGAGCTCTCGGAGTCTGAAATGTAAGAAATATATTGCAGAACAGGCTGCCCCTGCCAATGATTTGATCAATGTAGCAAAATGATTAATTTCTGCTACTGTTAAAGACATCTCATTTTATAAAGCTTAAAATTTCGGCTATAATGTTTTTTAAATCTGGTTTTTTTTAATTACCGGCCTCCGCTGAACTCTTCTATATAAATGTTATTAGAACATTAAGTTCATTTTATCTTCATTTTACCCTAGAAAAAGCGCCTTGGACACATCGGTGTCTTAACTACTGCTGCCATTGCTTTTAGCTTCAGTTTCGTCCAGTTCCAGTTCCTCTGATTTTCCTTAAGCTGATCGCTTGGATCTTAGCGAAAGTAGTAAACATCAATCCGTTCGTCGAACACAATGTATGTTCTACTGTCCGATATTGTTGTTTAATTTTTCTCTGAGGACAGTTAGATAGTGGCGGCGCTGCTTTTCCAGCTTAGGACGTTCGTGTCCTCTTTTGTGAAGGCGATGTATGGGAGGATTGGTCCCTACTGGGTTCCAACGTTCCTCCTGCTAAGTAGAAGAAAGACCAAGTCAATTAGTCATTTCTTTAACATAGTAGATGCGATACAGATGTACTGGTATCAATGAAAGGAATATAGTTGCATATTTATCATTTCCTCTCGGTCTCCCCTTTAACCGCCCCACCCCCAAAAAAAAAAAAAAAAAAATTAAAGTTAAAAGAGTCGAGATGTGGCAAGGATGTATCACATATAAAAATCTTTCCATAGCCCTTAGCAGCATTACCCCGAGCCTCTCCACCAAGTTGCGGGCTGGCGAGTCTTAATTGGGAAATAGTAGACACAGCGACGTGGTGTGTCGGTTTCTCAGCGACAGAGTTCTCATTTTCAGACCCAAAATGAAAGTTAACACAAAACGCCTTGTGTCGCCTTAGGCCATTTTGGACGCATACAACCACCACATATCGGAATTAACTATCAAACAAATCACTGTTTTTTTTTTTTGTTTTGTTTTGTTTTGTTTTTTTTTTTCACTGTTTGCTTGGGAACTATCCGTTGTCGTGGCGAATTCTCCCCTAGTTACGAGAACAATGCTAGAGGGCGGGGAAATGCTGAAATTAAAATTTTATCGTGCGGCCTTTGCTTGCGTCATAACGAGGAGGTAGACTATTAAAAAGTTGAAGATTGAAAACAAATTGGAATAATAACGATTATAGTAAGAATATAAAAGTAGTAATCATGATGATGATAACGTTAATGAAAATAAGAAAAAAACGGAGTTACACCACAGCATTGCTTTAATGAAGAAGGACATGACTGAGCTACTCAGTAACTGATTATCGGTGTCTTTCTATTTGGGAGGGAAAAGTGAACATCTTGAGTTGTCGTTGTTCACTTTAGATTTATATATTAGAATTATGATAGAGGGTTGAAAAGAAACTTAACTTTCTGGGTAAAAGTGAACTAATCTTAAGTCCTAATTAACTTGCTCAATAAACGCGTAAGCAAGAGGGAGAGGTTCAGGGTAAGTCGAGCGCATGGTGCGACTGTTGTAACGATTACAAAAAAAATTTAGAAGGGGCTAGTTGCGAAATCGATCAAGCTAGATTTCAGGATTAGAGAAAAGACAAAAGAGACACGAATGCGGAGTGCGGCTTTCACGTTCCTCTGGCCGTATATTAGTACTTTATTTTAGAGAATCTTGTCACCTCCCAACACTGATATTTTTTTAATGGACTAGGTACGCCTTTGTACCCTATGTCGCTCGGCCTTCTCCTCACTTCTTTCATGAAATCTAAATAGTTTCTTGGAGTAAATATAGAGAGTATCTGAGGACAACCAAGGTGCTCAATGCGCCTCTAAATTCCCTGTATCTAATATCTTACCGTTATTAGAGACCTTCGTCCATCTGGTCGCTTTCCTCCATTTCCAAACCATCCCATGATTCCATGTGAGTGATCCGTGAGAAGTGCAACCGTTAAAAAAGCTAAAATGACGAACGTGTTCATTTTTCTGGAACTTGAAAGTACCATGTCCTTTAAAATCTTCACCCGTTTACTTCCTTCTTCTGCTGCCCTAGCGAACGTGATCAGTTCACCTATTTCAGTTAAGAAACATCGCCTTATAAGCTGTCTTCTTAGGGATTCCCGTAGTGCGCTGAATTCAAATCGATAATAATACAAATCCTTTATACTGTGTATATACGAAGGCTCTATGCTCTTTACAATGTAGTACATGGAATAGCGCGTTTTCAAAAGTATGTGGGTTGGTTGGGAACAGCCAACACGTATTATTTTGTCAAAATATCGCGTAACTAAGGAAGTTTTCTACCCCGAAATTCGTTAGCGCTTGTTTGTGACGCTCAGAACTATACACTTGTTTTTCTGTGCCCAGCTTAGCAGGACACGATCTGACAAAGAAGCTGAATAACGCGTTTATTTTTTATGAAAGTATGTGAAAAGTTCTGCACTTAGTCCTTGGAGGCTAATCCTAGTCAGTTGTCCTCTAATTTACTTTGAAAAAAAGAATATGGTTTATCTGAAATTCATTATGTTTAACCATCATCTAGTGTCACAAAAATGAATAAAGAGAAAAAAAAAAAACCCACCACAATCGCTCTCCATTCAAAGTCGACAGGCAGGCAGGATTGAAGAGCACAGACCACGGATAATAACAAAATCCCGCAGTGCCGCCCTGTTCTTTATGATATCATTTGTCACTGAAGTGCTATTGAAGCATAATTAAAGATTTAAAGACACATTGTAATCTGCGAGGAGGCTGCAGATAATATGGGTTGTCGGTTCGAAGTTTGTGATTGTTTGAAAGAGAAGATAAGGGCGAATACATGAGGTCTCGAAGGGAAGGAAAATTAGATAAATAAATAAATAAAGGAATAAATAGTCGGCATGGTGTCTTTGTTGGCTTCTCTATTTTTAACTGTAATCGAGCATAAGGCATTCTGCCTGGAGACTGGAGAAAAGATGAATCATAATAATCCATCATAATCAACATTGTCATAAAATTACATGATTGTGATTTCTGCTGAACGGCATAGAATAAAACAGTCACGTGGGCAGGCCACATCATGAAGGCGAATGGAGCTTAGAAAAAAAAAAAAAAATGAAAAATAAAATGCATCGTAAAATTTGATATGACTTATGCCTGAGCTTTCCGCCTTTATATTTTCTTTCAGTACAGTGTAAATAGGCATTTTCTGTCCGAAAGCAAGCTTAATTAATTTTTGATACGCAAACGAGTGGGAACGAGATTCAGGTTAAAATTTAATTCAATTTACGAACGCCTTTCCGTAGGTACCAAGATCCACCCAGACCTATGGTCTGTTTCTGTGGCGAGGAACTCGCCCTCAAGAGGGGGTGTTGCCTTTAGAAGCTTTAGTCAAACAGAGAAGAAAATAATTTTAATGCTTGCAGTCACATAAACATTGCCGATACAAGTGGAGAGAAAGGAAATAGAATTTTTTTTTTCTTTCCAGTTTACCAGTTTGTACTGTTTATATGTCTTTTGGAGTGTTTTTAGTGTTCATCGAGTTTCTCGCGTGATGTGTGCGTTAAGCACGTGAAGTTAGCCCAACTCCTAAGTCGAGATCCGAAACGGCTCTTATTCTTGTAAACACAACCTAAAATCCATTTAATTTCGAACAATCAAACTCTCCTCTTCCTTATCTCCCCGTCGATTAACAGCACCTCGAATTTTGGTCAAGGAAACCTTTTAAATGTGTCAATCCATCATTCCTCTAGGCGATTGTGCTTTTTGTGTTCATGCAAATGTTCGAAAAACAAAATTGATTGAAAGAAGATGTGTTCACTGACAATGTAACGTAAAATGAGCCAACTCTTTGCTTAGCGAATGTCTTACTGCTATCATAAAGTAGGTCACCACAAGTTTGTATTAATTATTTTTCGCTAACACTTTCAACAGAACCCTCGCTCAGTTTGATGGGAGCTTTCTGCTGTTTTTCTAGAGCATAAGGTCACAGGTGAAAGTTACACACTAATAATAAAGACGTGTGGCTCCACTGATGAACTGTAAAATGAAAGCAGGAATTCGAGCATAATAACAATGATAACGATGGGGATTTTTAGAGCGCCATATCCGTATGCTCATGGTGCTTTACAATTGAATATTTCCGATCGAAAACTTTATAGATTAAAAATTACATCAATAACAAAACACAAATAGATAAAAGTACAAGTTAAAAATTCGTAACTAAGGATTAAGATTAAAATTAAAAGTAAAGATTAAAAATTAAAATTCTTATCGCAATATTTAGGCTATGTACATTATTTTAACAGAACTTTAATTAAAATGATCTTTGAATAAGAAAGTCTGTATAGAAGTTTTAATTTTTGAAATGTCATCATGATTACGTATGGGTTATCACATCATCAATTATCTTAATTGAAGGTATGTATCCCTTGCGTCGCGCGATTTGTCAGTCATCAGAATAGAATAGTAGGATTTCTTAATAAATAATACAATCCTCCCTTTTATGTAGATACGTGGGCCTGTCCACCCTAGCTAGTTCTAAATAATATTTCATTCTTCCGAAAAAAAGTATTGTTCCACGTGACCTGACACAAGTTTAATTGTTTTGATCATTAGTAGGTGGTGCCGCCAATACTTACTTGGGCCAAAATAAATTGACCTTATCTATCTGTAGCTGCATAAATTTTCTACAAAATTGATTGTCTGTCTAGATCGTTAGTGGGTAGAGCTAGGAGCCTACTGTTTGTCTAGATGGTTAGTAGGTAGAGCTAGGAGCCTATTGTTTGTCTAGATGGTTAGTAGGTAGAGCTAGGAGCCTACTGTTTGTCTAGATGGTTAGTAGGTAGAGCTAGGAGCTTTCAGGCTCCTGAAAGTAGGAATATCTTCGCCCACCTTGTTCAGTCCCCTCGCTCGCCTTTACTCGTACGATCTTGCAAGAAAATAAATTCGACTAGTCTCTGCATGGCCTTCTTCCAGCCCAGGCGTCATCATTTTTTTTTTTTTTTTTTTTTTTTTTTTTTTTTTTTTTTTTTTTTTTTTGTGGCGGTCACGCCTAGTTGTCACGCTACATTGTTTCAGCGTCTTAGCAGTTTGTTTGATCAAAGTAAAAACTTTTCAGATATCACGTACGTGTTAGTTCCACATCCTTCAAGGGGAAAAATTTGGAGAGAATATGTCGCCGTCAGCTACGTTTCTTTTCCTTTCATTAACTACAGGTAAGGCTTCAAATCTGTCAAATTTCCAAAGATTTTACAGCTGTATCGGAAATCATTTAGGTAAGCCTTCACAGACTTAAGGTTCATGATTAGCCATCCACTCTGCTACGTTGATTTCAAATTAACCGATTCCCTTGGTCAGAACTCATGAGGATGGCTTCCTTATAGTTTAACTACTTAAAAAAAGGGAATGGAATGAACAGAAGCGACGGTTACGATTTCTTTCCAAGGGAAAGAAAAATCTCTGGAGGATAGGCCGAGAAGTTTATTTTTCAAATTGTGTTCAATATTCACCGCTCGAGTGAATTGCGCGAACAAAGCGGGGTTCGTAGAATAACAAATTATCTATTCAGTTTCATCTTCATCAAGACAATAGATTTACCTTGTGGCGAGCTTAAAGCTCCACTTCAAATGTAGTTCAAGCAGTCAACATTTTTGTGCTCAGATATTCAACTCACGCAGGCAAATATTTAGACCAACAATATGATACTTCGATGGTCAAAAATTGTGTTTATAAAAGCGAAAGAATAGCGCGGTCGTTTTCGCTGTATCCACCAGGGAACCTGCCTTTCTTTCATTTGAAACGGAAGTTAGTTTTTGATCGTGTGGTGACTGGGAAGATCGCAGTAGGTAGCTTGAGGAAACGAAATGAAGTCGTCGCCCTTGAAATGGCACGGAAACATTCTTCAACTCACGCGAGAGCTACGCGTCAGTTCCATGAATCGCCAATATGGTTTAGCGCCATTTGTCGCGTCTTTATTTTATTTAAATTTTTATTACTATTTTACAAAGCAATAGATATGTTGCATATTGTCGTAAGAAGCCATACAAGTTACTACCGCGAACTGCTATGAAAAGGAAATATGATAATGATTATTTCTTTACCTTCCGAAGGGTGTTCAATTGATAAATTATATTGTAGCAGCTAAGTTTATGAATAGAAGTCAGCTTTGAAGACACTCAGTCACCAGGAAGTTCTTAAATATCATATTAAAGTTGAATTAACTGTATTTACGGAGGAATAATTTTTGATCAGCACCGCGAAATAATTAAGACAAACGAATTCGAGAGGCATGAGGCGTAAATGAAGTTTCCGATTTTTCCATTGTCTGTTCAACCTCGAATGAAAATTGAGACTATACAACTGTCTCACTTTTGTCACGCCAAAGTAAGGAAGAAAGCGTGACAGAATTAAAAAAAAAAAAAAAAAAAAAAAAAAAGCAGGAGCTGGTGAAAATGTTTTACTCAGCTAATTATTTCACAGCCTCCTCAACCGTGTTCAAGGAATTGAAAAACCTGGGAGCGTACGGCTGCCGTTGAAATTAATTTGTTATTCTTATTGAGAATTTCGCAAATGACTGAATGTCTTGGCCTTGCCTTACTGCGCCACACAGTAGTCGGGGTTTCCGCACTCAGACCACGCAAAAACTGGTGATTTAACGTTTTGATTTTACAAAGGAAAAGTAAGAAATGTCCAAAGGGCGCATGTGCCGAGCTGTTATTCTGCCATTAGATTTTTTGCTTTACCACGGTCCTCGTTGCAGTCGTTGTCGTGAATTCCTTGAATCCGCATAAGGCTCTAGCCTCGTTCTCTTCTTATTTCATCCAGCAGAAAAAAAATACATAAGGCCACCGCCTCTCTCACTGGGAGCGGTGATCTGTATTATCTTCCCAGCGAGATGACTAGGAATTTATTATTACGTTTACTCAGGTCTGTCATTGGTCAGCTGCGCAACGACATTAGGAGACTGTAACACGACGTACTTCATCTCTAATGGGCTGCAGTGCCAGAGGGAAATGATCAAGAATCTGATGACAAACCCGAAAACGACTTGTAGGTAGGAAATTGCAACGCTCCTCCTCCAGGAATATTTTTAAATTTAGTTTTGTTTTGTTTTAGTTATTTTGCTATATTTTGTTTTGATTTATGGCCTGGTCCAAAGTCTGCTTAAGCTCGACGAAGACGTCTGTAAAATCTTGGTTCAGTATAAAGAAAGAGAGTCATAAAAGTGAAGAAAAATTCAGCTCAGGAATATGAATCATAAAACAATGATTGGATTCAGTTTTCGCATGATAGCGATGATTATCAAGGCCTCAGTTTGTGTTATCCGCCTCAGCCTTCGGCTTTGGCAGATAACACAAACTTTCGCTTTGAAAATTATCGCTATCGTGCTCAACCTCATCCGATAATTGTTAACTGTTACACAACAACCAAAATCCGTGTCCCTTAACCTCCCCCCCCGCCGTGATGAAAAATGACCCGTTTCCCAGTGAGTAGAGTCGAATATGAATTATGACATTGGGCTCTTTTCTATTCTGCAGTGAGGAATACGAGGTGGAAAAATCCTGTCTGAGGAAACACATTGCAACTTGCTTGAAGGATAAAAGTAGCTCTGTTAACTTTGTGACGTCATTACTTCTTCATCAACTATACCATTGCGGTGACCTCACTTACCAACCATCTCCCATCAATAGCATTATTCTCGGACAAATCCAATGCACGGATAAAGCATTTACGGACACCGAGTTTTGCTGGGAGCATTTTCGAGAGAAGTTAAATTCCAATCGATCCGACCCATCTTTGTGCAGGTGAGATTTGGAATGATTGCGATAGAAATTTCCGTATGGCGTTGTGTTTCCATGTAATTCAGATTGGCAGACCTTGACCCCCTCCCCTCAGCAAATATTTTCAAAATACTCCCTCCAAGAGGTGAAGGGGGAGAGGGTATATATGTTTATATTTCAATGCTCTGCTTTGAGTTCCCAACTTGCAACCATTTTTTTATGATAAACTACAATTTACCTGGTGTTGCATGAGCTCCAACCTCGTTCCCAGGGCCTTTTCTCTCAGTTGGGGGTGGGGCGGGAAAAGGCCAACTCCACCCCCAACTAAGGGAAAAGGCCCTGGGAACGAGGTTGGGATAAGCTCATCTAATTCGAAGTTGTTGAAAACTAGGTTTTTGTTTGTTTTTTGTTTTTGGTGTATTTTTGTCATCGTTTGTTTGTTTGTTTTTTGTTTTTGGTGTATTTTTGTCATCTCAGTAACCTTTACTCGACATTTCTCTTCGGTACATGTAAGTGACATTTATGTCTAACCATTTGATCCTCTTAGCCTGGCACTTGCAGAAAGAACCTTTTTATTTATCATTTTTTTTAACCATCTTAGATGAACCAAGCAATTGGTGTGCACAGTCAACACATTCTGGAAGTTTCTCTTAAATTTAGTAACTATGCAGGCAGTGTGATGATTTGAACTTGCTGTTAACAATAACTATTCAATGTTTATCTCATGAACCTCATGAAGTGCAAATTTAAATCTCTATTGATCAAAAAATATTTTAAATTCATAGATAAGGTAATGTTCTTGTTATTTGTATTCGTTCTAACCTGTTTTCAGAGAATATGCGTTGGCGAAGGAATGTATAAATGAAAAAGCCATGGCTAATTGCAAGATATGTAGCTCACTTCCAAGAGATACATACAATCCATTTTGTGCAAACAACAGTGATCCACCAATAGTCAGGAACGGTAGTAACTTTTCTTTTTTTTTATCATATCTTCTGTCCATTTGTCTATCCCTCTCTCTATCCCACAGTCAAAGAGTCTGTCTGTCATAGTCTGTCTGTTTGACTGTCAGCCGGTCTCTGTCGGACTTTCTGTCTGTCTCTGTCTATTTCTATGTCTTTTCTCAGTCTGCCTGTTTGCTTGCGTGCCTGTCTGCCTGTCTGCCTGTCATAGTCTATCTGTCTGTCTGACTCTGCCGGTCTCTGTCAGTCTGACTGTCTGTCTGTCTGTCAATCTTTTCTCTGTCTGTGCCAGTCATAGTCTATCTATCTGTTTGATTAAAGGCTGATAGTTTCGAAAGAAACTGTTTGGGGCTGCGTCGGTGGGAGTAACGAAATAATTTAGATATATCAACAAAGTTGAAATGGTAAATTGGCCACCGTAACGAGTACAAAAGCTGAAGTTTCGAGCGTTAGCCCTTCGTCGGAGCGCTCCGACGAAGGGCTAACGCTCGAAACGTCAGCTTTTGTACTCGTTACGGTGGCCAATTTACCATTTCAACTTTGTTGATATATCCAAATTATCTGTTTGATTGTCTGTCTGTCTGTCTTCTTCTCTGTCTGTCTGCCTGTCATGGTCTATCCGTCTGTTTGACTGTGTGTTGGTCTCTGCCTGGCTATCTGTCTATTTCTCTGTCTTCTGTCATAGTCTATCTGTCTGCCGGTTTGACTCTCTTTGTCATACTGTTGGTCTGTCGTTAGATCTGTCAGCCGTTATCAATGTTTCTTATTTAAAATGAAGTTGCCTTAATCCCGTTTACAATTTTATTTATTAGTATGATTCAAACTTTTTAACAGGATGTCAGGAATTGGCAAAGCCTCTTTCGTGTACCTCGTACTCAGTATACAAAACAGCGTTAGACTGCGAGAGAAATTTTTCGAAGAATATCATGGAGAACGACAAAGCTGATTGTGGGTATGTTCAAAGTTGTTCCTATTTTGTTCCGGACTTTACCTCTCACACTTGTATTTCTAATGGAATTTCAATTATAGGAACAATGGTTTGGAATAATAAGTGATTTCAAATTCATAGTTACATTCATACCGTACAATTTGGCTTTTGCTATTGTTATCAAGTATTTGTGATCAAGTATATGTCTGAGGAAGCGTTCACCTTTGGATCGAAAAAGAAATTTGGCTAAATGAAAGCTGGCGGGGTGTTTTTCTTACTAGGTGGGACTGTGTATAAGTTGCTGACACCGGGTGAACCAATCAGAACACAAATTTTCTCAATCCACCAGCACCAATAGGAAACCGTTTTTGTATCGGGGTTGTTGTTGTTGTTTTTTTTTTTAGTAATATACGTTTGTGCACAGCTTGCAGTGCAAGTTGAAAGTCAGGAGTAGATCATTTTAGAAAGAGATTGACAGTTTTTATGTGTGGACAAGTTAAAAAGTTGTGAGAACTCAGACTTAGTCGAGAACCATTGAGAAACATTAGTAACCCAACTTAAAAATTGCATTTGTTTAGCCAACGAAACGACACTATGTACGTTGGAGTTTCCCTTTGTTAGTATTTTTTTGTACAGCGTCTACATTATTTGCACAAATATTAATGTTGTTTGGTTTCTGTGTCTAGAAGTGTGTGATGACGTGTTGAAATCATTGAGATTGGATTTGAACGAATTTAATCAGAGCAACACATTGTCTGCGAGAATTGCGATAGAATGGTTTTTGATTACTATAGAGTCCACTGCCTAAACATTTTCTGCACTTTTTTTCAAAATAGGGCTGCACTCGCCACGCTGAAAACTTGTCTAGACGATCAGTTATCTCAGACATGTAAAGACGACTCAAATAATCAGCGCGTCATGGCTGATATAAAGAAGGCCGTCATGGCGGTGCTCCGTGGTCCTAGATTCTTTTGTGAAGCAATGAATCTACGCCCCATCGATCTTGATTTCAAGACTCGTCCTATGATCCCTTGCAAATCAAAATTTTTTCCAGAGATGGAGAAATGCGCCAAGCCTGTTAGGATGGAGTTCAAAGAACAAAACGGCACCGGTGGGGAATTTTACAGGTAAACTGTTGGGGACTGTCTGAAGAGAGAGCAAGCCTACGGGTGGGTTGGGGTTGGGATAGGGGGGCAGGGGATCACAGATTTTGAAATTGTCTTGATTAAAGACTGGTGCTTCGACATTTGACCATGACCTCGAGGAAAGTAAGGAACTGATCATTACCTCATAATTATTTTTTCACTAGTTTTGGCGGGGATGGCCTCATCTGGGGCTTGGCTACAATTCCTTTCTTTTAAATTTGGTTTAAAAACTTTAAAAAATCCATGCTTTATTAACCCAGTTGATAAAACCAAAATATGTTGTGACACCCTCCACCGACGCAGCACCTTAGTTTCTTTAACACATTAACCTCTTTGTACAATTTTGTTTTTTTTTTCTGTTGTCTTTTTTTTTTGTTTTTGTTTCCTTTTTTTTTTTAATATAAGAGAAAAATCGAGTTTCGAGATAGGATTTGAACCCACGACCCTCCGTGATCTAGTCGGATGCTCTAACCACTGAGCTACAGGAGACTCTATGGTGAGCAAGGGTCAATTAGTGGGTATTGACTGGAACCGCATCACGCGGCTACACAGCCAAACATCAGCTAGCGCATATGTTGATGCACGTCATCTGCGTGACGGCGCTTTAAGTTACAGTTACACGCGCCACTTGCGTGACAGTGCTTTACGTTACAGTTAGGTTCTTTAGCTATTTTTGGATGTGATTGATTTAGTACGTGCGGAGCGTGTGTGTGGAGTAGACATTTTTTGCTGTGGTCTACAAAAAGAGATTATAAAGGCCTACGGTGTCGCGGGACAGATATGTAAGTTCGTTTCATCGTAATTTATCCTTATTGCTTGTGGTTAGCCCAGTTCGCAGTTCAATTAANTAAAGCATCAGATGCAGCCAACCAGCCCCCAAAGTGAGCATGTAAAGATGAAATAAACAATTTTTAATATAAGAGAAAAATCGAGTTTCCAGATGGGATTTGAACCCACGACCCTCCGTGATCTAGTCGGATGCTCTAACCACTGAGCTACAGGAGACTCTATGGTGAGCAAGGGTCAATTAGTGGGTATTGACTGGAACCGCATCACGCGGCTACACAGCCAAACATCAGCTAGCGCATAGAAGCTCACTAACAGCATCACGCTGTCACATTAAAGCATCACATGCATTAAAGCATCACATGCAGCCAACCAGCCCCCAAAGTGAGCATGTAAAGATGAAATAAACAATTTTTAATATAAGAGAAAAATCGAGTTTCCAGATGGGATTTGAACCCACGACCCTCCGTGATCTAGTCGGATGCTCTAACCACTGAGCTACAGGAGACTCTATGGTGAGCAAGGGTCAATTAGTGGGTATTGACTGGAACCGCATCACGCGGCTACACAGCCAAACATCAGCTAGCGCATAGAAGCTCACTAACAGCATCACGCTGTCACATTAAAGCATCACATGCATTAAAGCATCACATGCAGCCAACCAGCCCCCAAAGTGAGCATGTAAAGATGAAATAAACAATTTTTAATATAAGAGAAAAATCGAGTTTCCAGATGGGATTTGAACCCACGACCCTCCGTGATCTAGTCGGATGCTCTAACCACTGAGCTACAGGAGACTCTATGGTGAGCAAGGGTCAATTAGTGGGTATTGACTGGAACCGCATCACGCGGCTACACAGCCAAACATCAGCTAGCGCATAGAAGCTCACTAACAGCATCACGCTGTCACATTAAAGCATCACATGCATTAAAGCATCACATGCAGCCAACCAGCCCCCAAAGTGAGCATGTAAAGATGAAATAAACAATTTTTAATATAAGAGAAAAATCGAGTTTCCAGATAGGATTTGAACCCACGACCCTCCGTGATCTAGTCGGATGCTCTAACCACTGGGCTACAGGAAACTCTATGGCGAGCATGTGATGAGCATTTAACTCACTCTATGGTGAGCATTTAATGCATGTGATGCTTTACCGTGACAGCGTGATGCTGTTAGTGAGCTTCTATGCGCTAGCTGATGTTTGGCTGTGTAGCCGCGTGATGCGGTTCCAGTCAATACTGACCCACTAAATGACCCTTGCTCACCATAGTCTCCTGTAGCTCAGTGGTTAGAGCATCCGACTAGATCACGGAGGGTCGTGGGTTCAAATCCCATCTGGAAACTCAATTTTTCTCTTATATTGAAAATTGTTTATTTCATCTTTACATGCTCACTTTCTTTTTTGTTTTGTTTTTCAAGAGATTATTGTTTGTCTCTCTTCTGTCGCTGCAGTATGCAAATTATAACGTCCTGTGTAGCATTCTTGCCAATAATTTGGATATATCAACGAAGTTGAAATGGTAAATTGGCCACCGTAATGATTACAAAAGCTGACGTTTCGAGGGTTAGCCCTTCGTCGGAGCGAATAACCAATAGCTTTCTTTCTGTTTTCCTCAGTAAGTTCCGCACCTCGTTAAGCTGTGCCAGTGGTGTGCAAACATCCTCTTGTAAGTTTGATGGAAACGTAGCTGGTATGATTCAAGGATTCTACTCAACTTTTCGCGTAACTACAACCGGACCTGGTGGAAAGGACCATGGTAATGCCGCATCTCCTGTGCTACCAAACTTTGTCTTAATGTTGTCTGCCTTTGTTCCTCAAGTCCTAGTTTTTATTTCTGTATCGTATTGCTTTTTGTAAAGTATTATGCCGTCAGGGTTTCACTCCAACTCCCATATTTGCTACAGTCGCTTTTCTGACTGATATCGTTTTTATTTGTTGTTCTCTCTTTGCGTGCGACCTGATGGTCAAACTCGGAAATTTTATTGTCGAGAAACATTTCGGTACCTTGTTTTATGTTTCTTTCTCTAGCACTGCGTCCCCTTCATGCCCCCCCTTCCCATGGGAAAGTATGTTGGAAGAGGAGGGGGGTCGAAGAGAATCAAATTTGCGCGCGGAAACTTCTAGAAATGCTAATGTTAAGTGTTCTTGACTATGCCAAGTCACTGTAGTTGTTGCAGCTGTAGACAGTTTATTCCTTCAAAGTTGATTAAAAATGAAGAAAACAGTTTAAGTTAGATAAAATAAAGCGATAAAGAAATAATATGTTTATTTAATAGAGCAAATGATGAAAGTAAGAAGAAAACAAACTCTTCCGAGCTTGTTGCAGAAAATTTATTCCTTCAAAGTTGATTAAAAATGAAGAAAACAGGAAGTTTAAGTTAGACAAAATAAAGCGATAAAGAAAGGATATGTTCGTTTGATAGAGCAAATGATGAAAGTAAGAAGAAAACAACTTCTTCCGAGCTTGCATTGGTTTTTTTTCCTGTTCTGTTCGGAAGCTTACTTGCTCATGTTCTCTAACGGAAGCCTAAAGTCATCAGAGCGGTCCTCTCTTTTTTACCGTCAAGGAATTTAATGCAATTAAAGGTAAATCCGTTTATCAAAACTGTTGGAGTCAAGTTAATGTGTGGCACTGATGAGACAACTTCTCTCAGAATATTAATAGACAGACTTTATGCAAAGTGAAAACTCTTATTTATCTAAGCTATGGTCTCTATAGTTCGAGGGGATTCTATATTAGCAGTAAGAAGTCAGATAATCGGAAATATCTTCGTAGTTTCAAAAAATATTCGTACACGCACCCAGGTCGACGAGTATCTAGTAACAATGAAGCTCAACTCCACCCGAATGACTGAAACTGAATGATCAATCATGCGTCGAAAGTTTCGACTTACGCTACGGACGGTTAAGGACCTACATGAAAACCGTACGAATTAAAACAGAGAGAGTGCATGGGAAGAAACGGAATATTTCGCAACATTTTCCATTATTTTTTGTTAAAAGATAAATTGTATCCTCGTAAGTTTGTGTTGTATCGTTTTCGGCTAGTATCTCGTACTGTCTTGAAGCAGTTCTAGATTCTATGTAGTTGTGCAATGGTTGCACCTTTCCCTTTGCCTATAAGTTCAGCAGGGTGTGCAAAAACCACTGACCCAGCTTCATAAAACGAGAGGCAGAGGGGTGCATTTATTTTACAGAATGAAATAGAAGGAGCGACGCAAAGCTGACAATCAACTGAGGCAATGCACTTGAATGTTTGGTGTTACTATGAGAACAGAAGGGATTCTTTATTATGGCGGTGGTGTCGAGAACTTCCTGTTGGAAATTGCAGTGAATTTTTCGATTCTTGTTGATACACTCTCTGGCTTCCTGATAATCATTCATGTAAACGCTGTAACAGGTCAACACAGAAGTACAACAGTTAGGAACCTGTCATTATTTATCGTCTGATGATAATCGGAGGGGGGGGGGTTGGTCTGATGACTTTTTGGGGGGCTAAAAAAAAATCCAGGGGAACGGAGAAGAATCAGTCGTCTCCAACGGAGTTGAAAGGGGGAGCATTGAATACTGCAGAGCCCTATGGGGGGATCAGGTAAATTTCATTGTGACACAAATGTGACCTCCACCCCCCTGCCCCCCAATTGATAAATGGTCACCGGCCCTTAGCGAGATCTGAGCCTCGTGTAAATTACTAACGCCTAATCTAAGCAGTTCGAGATGTTGTTTCCTTATCCACTCACTACTTTTTATACAGTTTTCATGTGTAACATGTTGCAACATTCGACGTTCCTTAGATTTAAGGAAGGATGGTAAAGAAAGCGTGGGTTGGTTGGAGAAATATTTTATTTAAGCCTGTCATGAACGTCAATTGAAAGTAGGGAGGAAAAAGTAACTAGTGATTAGTACACTAACCTGCAAGTTACTCCGCTCTGTCGGTCCGCCGCTGTTGAAGTTTGATAGGTATTACGGAAAGATACAGCGCATTTTTCTGCCTCGTAAAAGAACTCGTCATCACAGTCCACAAGGGGTAGCACACTAAGATGCAGCTCACTCGTGTCCAAGCTCACGTTGTTGCAAAACAAACGCTCATTGGTCAAAGTCGCTTCAAGAGCTTTTACTGTATCATCCATGTTTTTCATGGTTGTCTTGCAAGTGCCCAGTCTCTTTTCCAGGCATTGTCTTTTCCTCTTGTTCTCTTTACTGCAAAAAGAGGACTATCAGCATTTTCTCTCTTTTCCCATACACGAACATTTTTATAATGAATGTTGATTAGCAAGGTCAAATGGCTTTCCCCTCAAGTTCACATAAATTTTGACAATTGTGCACATACATGAACGAACAAGGTATGTCTGCTGAAAGTATTACCAAGACTACATCGACTGAGCTACAGTATTATTCTAAGACAACGCCGAGAAAATGGTACCTAGAATGACTCGATAAAACCACAAGGTAATACATCAGCGCACAGATTTCGTACACTCTTTGTTCTAAGTGAACTTTTTGGTAAGGATTCTCATAGGTCATGAGTCACTATCCTAACCTTTTTCCACTTAATGGCGAAAACCTTACTGTGGAAACTAATGATCATACAAATGTTTACATTCCTTTCTTGATCGACCCTGAGAATAATGTGTTTAATGGACATCAATTGACATAATACCTTAATTTCTCCCGTCTCGAAAAATCGCACGCAGAAAATTTGTTCGTTTTGTTTTTGTTATAACTGGGTCAATCGTTATGGCGGTTTCGTCTTCCTTGTAGAATCTTCTTTTTGAATTCATTAATTTAAGGACTACTTAGGCTAGCATTTAATTTCCTTTTCCAAGTAAAATTGTTTTGAATTCAGAAACTATTTGATTTTCATGTTAAGAGTCAAGGAAGCTTTTCTGCGTGCAGGTGTTTTCCGCATTCTCTACTTATAAGGTATATCCCCATCTTAGCCACGTTTGGTAATACGATAGCAACTTTCAACTGCGAATCTTCCCTTCTTACAATCTTTAATTATCAAACTTTTCTCATCCTCAAAGTCACAAAGATCTGCAATCCCATTCTAGTGCATCTTTTAAAAATACAGACTCTTCATAGGGAATCTAATTGTGCAAATGCGACCCTCACCCCCTCAGATTAGTGACTTTGTTAGTGCCCAACTCACCTACAGGTATGATCACCTTCATTTGCGAATTTAGTAGCCCCTTCATGTTCGCATTCCATCGCCTCTTCATAAATGAGCCAGATGGGGCATTCCAGTTTAGCGTAAAGATCCATGCAAGCTGCGGAATCAGATCGCGAAAAAAAAAAAAAAAAAGAAAAGAAAAGGGAAGCAAGCAGTCCAGGAAAAAAATTTAAATTCAGCTCATTAGGTTACGTAGAACTTGTGATCAATGAGCCGAAAAGGCGAACGTACGACCGAGAGAACGTAGTGAGAAACTGTATAAATGAACGTGGATTGTAATACACAATAATATCAGTTTAATAATGAATATGAATGAATAATATGTATATGAATGAATATGAATGAATAATGAATGAATGCGTGTAATAATGAAAATTTTGTGGCCACTATTTTTTCTTAAGAACAATAACGATATTATCATCATCATCATTAACTGGACCTTTCCGATCTTTCAAGAGTTGTCACATACTTAATTTCTTATCAGTATTTAGACAACGTTTTCTATCAATAGAAACAGAGGCTTACCTGACTGGTTGGTGTCGCTAACCGGGTCTTTGAAATCAGGAGCACAGAAAGGGTTGTAATTGTCTTTTTCCAGGTAATCGCAGAGTCCTTCACATGCTGCCCTGGCGACCTCGTTGCAGTCCTCTTTTGCTTTAGCGTAAGGCCTTCAAAAGATTAGACACAAAGGTTACAATAAATGGTGGCTTGGTCATCAGAGCGTTTCCTAGTTTCACCAACTGTTTCAAGAAGAGTCCATTCGATTATATCTAATATCATAAATCAATTTTTTTACGCAAACCTGTTCACTAGCTGGATCGTATTGGGTTAGACTCACACCCACTTAACCACTGGGGAAAAAAAGAAGATTCTCAAATACCTTTCAAAGATATAAGGTGTGGACGAACTTGCTTTACCTCAGGGGGCGAACTTGTAGAGTTAGTAAGGGAGACCTTACAACCTGTGGTTACTCTCTTACTTACCCGCATGCATTAGAAACGTTATTTCTTGATTGACTAAACACGGAGTGGAAATCTCTCCAGCACTCGTAAGCTTTCTTCAGACGTTCTGGTACGCATTTTGTGATAAGCCACAAGAACGAACCAATATTACTTGTATCCACTTTTTCGTCCCCACAGTTGTACGCATACAAGAGCATCAAATCGGTGATCTGACCGGCCATGTCTTTCAGAAGACTATCGTCTTTTACGCAACCATCTACGTGCTTTCGAACGCATGTTTGGAGTTCACTGCGCCCACGGCTAGGAAACGAAATGGTGGAATACTTCGTGAAGCGCATTCAGTAAGATATATAGCTCCCTCTGGTACGCAAGGGAGGCGCAGTGGCCTCATGGTTAGGGCGCCTGACTCCGGATCGAGTGATCCGGGCTCGAGCCCTGGCCGGAGACATTGTGTCGCGTTCTTTAGCACTTAAAATTCAAATACAGCAAGCGGATATGCCGGAGAAGTGCTCAACATAACATTGACCCTACTGAAATGACAAAAAACTACTAGTAAAATCCTTTCGTCAGACACATGGAGACGGCTAGTTCAAAGTTGTTGTGGCAAACAAACAATCGATTACAGCAACGGTAGCCTCTAGTTATGTTTCCCTCTTAATAAGAGCTTGGATGTTTGCATTAAAGCGTATCTAACCTGCAAGACATTGAGGGGTCCAGCTTTAGCTCAATCATCATTGCCCGTTGACAGGCCATCCCTCCATTTGTAAAACTGCTTAAAGAACATTTTCCAATGTCTAAGCCCTCTGTTTGAATGTGTAAAACTAAAGGTATTTTAAAAAAAATTCAAGAAAAAACTTGAATGATGTAAACAAAACAAAGGGCGATTATTCAAGCTACTGGATGGTTTTGGACTGACAACTTAATGCGGCTGGAGCTCGAAAATGAGCCAATTAACGGTCATTCTTATTAGTTTTTCAAATATAAATTGAATGTATCTTAGTGATAACTTTTTAAATATCATTTGCTTGGCAACAGATAAACGCTTTAAAGACGTTATTTTTTGTATTAACAAGATGCAGAACAACTTTTGATGTAAGTGCAGCGTTTGACCGAGAATTTATTTACCCAACTCTGCTTCCAGTCTAAGATTATAATCCAAGTAAAAAAAAAGCAACTGAAAGAAATTTGAATATCTTCAAGTTAATATGCTCAGGCGATTGAAAAGAGGAGAGAAAAATTTATCTTCTTGTTGTTTTGACTCGCGTGTATGATCAATCAAATAGCCTCAGCACGTATACGTTAGCGCTTCAAGCAAGCGATCAGTGTTTCAGAGTATTCACTTTGGTACTGACATTATCAATAGCGGCATTATTTCAAGATAGAGAAATTTTATAATACCATTGCCTGAAAATGTTTCTCTTCTTTAGAATTGCTATCAATATTAGAATTTTTTTTTTTTTTTATGAAAGCGATATAAATCGAAACACCACGCACACGATGATAAATCTGATGTTATTAACTTAGCACTATAGATAAACAGGTTTCATCATTATTACAATAAGTTTCTAACATCAGCTAAACTGCAGTGAGTCATTGTTTGTATTTCACTTGGCATCCTGATGACTTTCAGCGAAGTTTACTCAAAATACCTGTGAAATAATACACCAACCTGCCACTATAATCACGAAAGAAGTTCCTTTCAAAAAGTCATTCATCCTCTTGAAAATTTGGTCGACAAATTTTGAACTTAGCACTGAAAATCCTCGGGTTACGACTTTTTCGAGTTCGAAAGTAGATAAAAATGATGAGAACTATGCTTGCAATGTCGTTTGGTGCTGAATAATGTATGCAGATTTGTTTAGAAAGTAACAGAATGAATTTCAAAGAGAGAACACAAAGCATTTCCAAAATATCAGCAAGGGACGTTCTAGAAGCTGCACGATTGCGTGTTCTTCTGTTGTCCAAGTCGCACGTCCATTGTTTGAAGAAAAAATTTGGGCAAAAAGTTGCTTTAGGCCTCAGTAATTAGCCAGTTTTGTGATTTTCAGTCAGATTTATTAACAAGAATACATAAATTTGGTCATACTTCTGCTTGGTGTTGTGTTCCGGTTGGACAGGTCTTCATTCGAGTCAGATTTCGAACGTTAGAGGTTCCTTGTTACGTCAGTATGCCAGCAGGATCAACAATGTCCTTTATGTTTAATCATAATTTTCTAGGACTGATTGGTGAAGACAATTTCAGTGGACGTTGTGGTACATTATTGAATTTTATTAAGAATAACAGAGATGCCACAATCAATCAATTATTTTTCAAAGGATCGTTCTGGAATGGATTATATTATCCATGACGTGCTACTTGGATGCTCTTGACCTGTTTATAAATGAACATAGCAACCAAAGAGTGATTCGCTCAGCTCGCACTAATGCATTGTGAATGATCGATCATTTACCAAAGTCGATTACGTCATATTCGAGCTTATCAACACAGGTGACCCAGGGGCTACATGGGAAACTTTTAAATTAGAAAAAGGAACTTCATACCAATAGATAAAAAGTTCTTAAAGTGGGTTCCACTGGGGTCCTCTGCCCAAATGAGGAACCACCATGCCCCGGTAACAACGAATCTCCTGTTGAAATGGAAAGCAAGATTTCACACACTACGTATGATGCACGATCCTCGCAGTAGAGAGCGCTATTTATGCAATAGCGAAAATCAGACCTGAAAAAAATCAGGCCTGTACGGGATTCGAACCACTGACCTCTGCGATACTAGTGCAGCGCTCTACCAATTCAGCTAAAAAGCCAACTGGGAACAGGCCGTTAGGTTGATTCGTAATAAACCCGTGATGATAAATCAGATGCAATGTATATATGAAGTTCATATCTTTTGAACTGCGGTATTAAATACGTATGATGCACGATCCCCGCAGTAGAGAGCGCTAGTTATGCAATAATTTTCGCTATTGCATAAATAGCGCTCTCTACTGCGAGGATCGTGCATCATACGTTTTTAATACCGCAGTTCAAAATATATGAACTTCATATATACATTGTATCCAGTTTACACACTGTCTATAATAGCAGCCAAACCATGATTTGATTCAATCAACTCTAGAGGGCTACATACATACAGTATATAGTTAATAATGAGTCCTACGTCAAACTTTACGACGTCATAACCGATCTTGCCTGCAGCAAAAGCTGCCCAGTGCCCAGTACCTAGCTACGAATTCGAATATAGAGAATGCGTGGGAAGAAGCAAACTATGTCTCAAATCCGTTCTTCTTATGACGATTAGAAATATGAAACGGCTAGTGTCTATCAACATGACCTTATTCAAGATACTTAGAAGGATTGATAATTATCACCTTTTTAAACGTCAAGGAACGAAGAAGAATATTTTTTCCATGAAAAAGAGTTCAAGTTTTATTTTAGATTTGATTATATACAGGCAAATATAAAAACCGTCATCTTCTGGTTTGCGGCAAGAATCAGCAGCAGAAAACAAAAATGTATAGAGCCTCAAAGAAAAACGAACAAACAAACAAACAAGGAAAAAGCGATCAAAATACGAAATTGAAACAGAAGAGCAATCTTTCATAATAAAAATAATTCTGAGACTCTTAAAGATAGTTTTTGTCCTCACTGTTTTTTTCCTACATTTTCCACTTTTCCCTTCTTTTTTTATTTTTTAATTTGTTTTTATTTGTTTGCTTTTTTTTTGCTCCATAGTTGACATTGGTTATTGCGCTTCAGGTCTGGCTCTTTTCACTACCATTTCCCATTACCATTAGTGTGCATCATACATTTTCAACTGTCTGGTTGGGGAGATATTTTGATGTCAGGGTGCAACGAGAGAAAAGACGATGCTGATAACGAACAGAAATGGTATTGTCGCTTGAGCGCCATTTACTCCATTCTTCAATGGGTCTTTCCCATTTTCACAAAAAGGGTTTTCGTCATTGAACAGGATCGCCTTTAATGTGCTTTCATCAAAATTACAACTTTCCTCGTGTACTTTGTTAAGACACTTCTTGGCAACTGCAAAAGAGCTGAAAAAATAGAAGAAACATTCCCGTGACTAAAGAGGCACATTATTCTCATGAGAGAAGTCCGAAAATCATTGGATTGGCCAGGATTTAGGAGGGATGAATCTCCCTGCCTTTTCCCTCACTGCTTAAGAAACAAGTTGTCTCAGCCAGCCACATACATTACCATACACATGTAACCTTATGCAGAGTATCAGTAGCATTCTAGAGTAAATCCAACCCAATCCTTCCCCAACTGAGAACATAAACGAATGAGTGTAACCAAACCAAGAAAAAATTATTGATGGGTTGACGTGTGGATACACAGAGAGGCTTCCCTACTGGGAAGCCTTTGAGAGAGGACAACTGCTACCAAAGTTGATCCGGTTTCTTCACCATTTTCAAAAGGAACGTCTGTCCATCGAAGACACTCTCCTTTCTCACGCGCCCCCCTACATCTCAAGTAGAAAGGATGTCGGAACTCACCAGATAATCGCTATCAAGTTATTAGGTGTCTGCAAAACAGACAATTATACACCAGAACCCAGCAGATAGTGATACATCTGCAGGATACTGTGACTCACTTGCTTTGGGTAGCAAGTTTTTTGCGTTAAGTGAAAATAAGATTGGACCTCTCACCTTGGAATCGAGCGCACGAGTCAATAGCCGATTTATACTGAAGTGTTTGAGTGTAACTTTATTGATACGTCCAGGTTTATCATACTTACGTGCAGACTTCTTGGGACTTTTTCTCCACGGAATTGCTATATATGCTTCTGAAGGGCTCGGCACACTTCTCAGCATCAGTGAAAAACTCCTGCTGACAATCACCTGTCTTAACATTTTCATGAATTGCAGCTTTGTCCAAGGTTACTTTGTTACAAAAAAATTGCTCCACCATCAGAGTTGCTCGAAGAGTCTTCACGCTGTCGTCAAAAAATTTATCTTCTTGCACGGAAGAGCACTTCTTAACCAGCTCCTCTCTCAAGCAATTCTTATTTTTTGGAAGGACAGTGCTGTGGGTAAAAATCTTGAGTAAATAACTTTTAATCAAGTTCTACGAAGTACAAGGGGAAGGTCTCTAATCTCGGAGACAAATACCTCTTTGGTTACCTAAGTCAATGGTCGTAGACGTATTGGTAAAGTTCTCAATTAAAGTCTCCCACAAGATTAGCTCGATTGAAAAGAAAAACTAGATGAGGGGAAAAATATCACTGAGCAGTTGGCAATTCCTTTCTGGAAACGTAGATAAAAGAAACTGTAAAAGGACGCCTTTCCTATAAGATTATACAGAATAAACGAGGCCAGGTCAAAGAAATGATATTCCTGAAAAGACCTATCTGAATGATGATTTTGCACTTTGTAAAGGACATGGGTTTTAGCATTCTTGATTCCGAATTAGACCTACCTCTAAATTGGATTCTCTTAATTACCATCTGGATTATTTATGTGTTTGCCACTGCGGATTTACAGGTGTTGTGGTGCGCTGCCCCTTTTAAGCAGCAATACCTTGTCTTAACTTAACTGACTAAGGCAGCCTTTGCTATGTAATGCTTTTTAAGAGTAAGAGTATGTCATATGTTTGGTGCCAAAGTTACTACAAATACACGTTCTCTCTGATTGTATTGTTCATTAACAGGAAGTTGTCTTGACTCTCTTACTTGCAGTTTTCCCCGGAAGCAAAGTCTTTGATGCTTTTCGTATCACACTTCATCGCATTTTCGTAAACTACAATATTTGTGCAAGAAGGAAGAGGATTACAGTCTGAAAACAGAAAAAAAAACATTTGATATGACAATAAAGAGGACAGCCTATTTAACGATTTTTTTAACTAAAAAAAGTGTGGCTGACTGGTCCGTAAAGTTAGAGAGTAATTTTAACAAGCGATTTCTCTACTCATTCTTAAGCAGTCGAAATGACATCAAACAAAGGATGGAAAAGACAGTCATGAAACTCGCCCCAATGCAGAAACGAAGACACATTGATGGTGTAAGCTTTAGAAGTAGGAAAACCTTTTTCGCTGTTGGACGGTGTTCATCTTCAAGCTATTTATAGGAAGAATAAAATATCAAAGCCATAAGATGTTTATTACCAAACAAGGCAGTCTGCGCTGGAGGGTCCGTTCCGTTGGCACAGAAGGGATTATACGCGTCTTTGGTGATGTATTGGCAGATACTTTTACACGATTCCCTTGCCTTATTAGTGCATTTTTGTTTCCCCTCAGCGTATTTACTGTATTCAAAAGAATAGATAACGATACACAATGAGCAACCAAGCAAACAATTGGTAACGCAAGGTATACAGAGTCGCCAGGGAATCAGCCAATCAATCAATCAATGAATTAATTAATCAACCAATCAACCAACCAATCAATCAATCAATCATTCAATCAACCAATCAATAAGCCAATAAATCAATCAATCAATCAATGAACCAATCAAACAGTCAATCAACCGATAAATCAATCAACCAACCAATCGATAAAATCAATCGATCAATCGATAAATCAATCAACCAACCAATCAATCAGTCAATTAACAAATAAATAATCAATCAGTCAATTAAACAAGTAACTAATCAATCAGTCAATTAAACAAACAACTAATCAATCAATTAAACAAACAACCAATCAATCCTCAATCAATCAACAATCAATCAATCAATCAATCAATCAACTCATTGATCAACCAGTCAAGTCAATTAATATATTCAGTAATCAGCCAATCTATCAAAGCAACCAATTAAACAATCAATTTTTCGATCAATCCATCAATTAATTAATCAATCATTAATACCTCAAACAGATTAAATAAGAAATTGATAATTCAGTTAATCAATCTAAACAACTAATTAACCAATCAGTCAGTCACACGATCAATCCACCAATCAATCAATCTTTCAACAGTAAATAAATGTCCACACAGAACGTAGATAATTTGTTTCAGTGATGCTCACTTGTCAATGACTACAGAAATTGTTATCTGAAGTGGTAACCTACCTGCATAATGAAGAATCGTTCCTGCTTGCGTTGAAAGTTGTACGGAACTCGTCCCAGCAGCTAACCATCTCCTTCAGCTTTCCTGCATCGCAGCCCACGAGATTCAGGAGTAATGGGTTCATACTTGATACATCAAAACTTAGCTGCCCGCAGTGATAGACTAACAGCTCAAGCAGCTGCACTATTTCACGTTTAAATGCGTCGTACGGCGGAACACCATCCACGCAGCCACTAACACGACCATTCAAGCAGATAGATTGCCTTCCATATTCAAAGCTGCCAAGAAGATGCGGTTAACAAGCGAAAATATCAAACAAATGAACCAAATCAGAATTTTTTTCCAATGTTTTATTGTATAATGCATTTATATATAACGAGGGTTCCCTATACCTATTTGCAAAACTCAATCACGTAGAAATATTTGACTCTCTCATGCGTCACGAGCAGTCCAAAACTGTTCACGTTCACGCGAAATTCGAGACAATCACATTTATTAATATTTTTACTTTTACTTGTCATGACAAGTCCTTTACGAAAATAGTGATCGTAATATTAATGTCTTATTTTATCTGTTTAAGAATGACAAGTGGTCTGTAAACAATTCAGGTAACATCGAGAGACTTTTAATTACTAAAGAAGCATATTGGAGCGCACACACAGTTGTTTTCTCTGGCACCTTTTGGCTTGAATAAGCGCCAGGAATTTCACTCCAAAAAAAGAATAAACTATGATTAATGTGGACAATTTTTCTAATTGGGTGGGCATCATAGGTCCCGGTCTCAGTTTTGATCGAGAATTTTGGTACAATTCTCGCCTTGTTTCAACGCTGATTCCTTAACACTTTCAGTAGATTCGACCATGATCTTTTAATTTCTATATTTCTTTTTCTCGTAGATTGTGATAATTTTGTAGATTGTGATAATCTTTCGCGTAGTAATTACGGTTTTTGTTAATACCTGTCATCACACCCTCCTCCTCAAGTTATTTAAAGTGCACCTAAACCCAAAAATTTTTTTTCGCTTAACGAAATAAGCGTATTTTTTGGAGTATTTCTGTGCAAACATTTTTTTATTTGCTCAAATCTTCAATTGTCTGTGCCCAGTCAAAATACGGAAAATCGGCCGCCATCTTGCCCCACGGCCGAGTTTAAAGAGGAATGGCTCTAGCGGGTAATGTGACGTCAAATCGAGAACACGAAAGTCTGCATTTCACACATTTTCGCTTGTTTAGGAAGGTTGTAGTCGATTTTGTCCGAAAATATGCCGACTAAGTGTGTTATAGGAGGATGTAGCAACGTGCGAAATTTGCAAGAGGGTATCACGCTTCATACATTCCTCATACAATACACCTGGTCGGCATATTTCGGACAATANATTTTAAGCTGACACGTACGCCTGCCATATTTGTACATTATGGTATATTGGCTGATATACCATAATGGCTAAGCCAATAAAAAGTCTTGAATTGCATTATCCAATGATCTAGTTTTTAATAAATATATATATATATATATGTATATGTTCAATCTAACGATTGAACTTATCAAAAAGACATAACTTTGTCTGTAAGCAGAAAAACTTATGTCTTGTTGATTAGTTCAATATTCAGATATACCACGCTCTACGAGCGCATCGAGCACTATGCCGCAACTACTTTAATGAAATAACTTGATTAAATACCCATGGTATAATTTATCGGACAAAACGCCACAGCGTACACTATTGAGTAATGAATGCACGCGGGAGGTTGCTTAGCACGAAAGAAGTCGCGCGAGGCGATAGCCAAGAGCGACTGTAACTTCTTGAGTCTTGATTCTTATCAGTATAATGAGGTTTCTTTTCTTTTCAAAGAAAGTATCTTTGCTTCTCTTACCCGCACGCCATCTCTCCCTCTCTATATATTTAAGTCCATTGAAAAGAGCAAATATCAGAGGTTCAATTGGATTATAGGCCATTATCGCTAAAAATTGAGTTTCCAAACCTGCAGTTCAAGCTGGCGTTGTTTTTCAAGTTTGAAATCATGGTTCTCTGGCATTGCTGTCCTCCATTTGTGAAAGTGGTCAAATCACATTTCCCTATAGTTTGGCCAGCGGCGTGCCTAAGTAGCACTGTGAGAAAATAGGTTAAAAAACTTATCTCAGTTAAATTAGTAAAGGAGGGAAGTTTCTAGAGAAACTGTAGTACTGCGCATGTGGGGGAGTATAACAGGATAATTTGGTTTTATCGGCTGTGCTGATAATGTAAATTGGCCATCGTAAAGAGTTTCGGGCGTTAACTCATCTTGAGAACGAATGAGGAATTGTGGGCTGTGTGTTTAGTCTCTGTAATCAAATGGCGACGAGTGAAACTAGGAAATAATTTCACGTGCGTTTTTTCAAAATTCTGATAATTTCCCAAGCTTTTAGGTGAGGGAAATTATCAGAATTTTGAAAAAATGCAACTGAAATAATTTTCTAATTTCACGAGAAAACCATTTGATTACCTTTTAATATCGTGGGCGACAAATTACGTTCACAACCGTAATTGTTTTTACTGGTTTATTATATCGAAAACCGCGAACATGAAGAAGAATATAGTTTTCGTTTAAAGCATACATTATTGTTAAAGTTCGTAATTTTTTGAGTTTCTTCACAAAAACTACCTGTCGAATTCTTCGTGCCTGTTAATAATTCTCGGCCGCTTCTTTTAATTTAGTTACTTCTTCAAGGGTCACCGTCTTAAATCTCTACGCCATCTTGGCTCTGATCGAGATACAAGAGATGTTACCATAGCAATTTTTTAATTTTTAAAAATTAACGCTGAAATCTCGCACCAAAATTAAGGAGTAGGGCCCTGTTCAAACGTCGAACTTTACATGTGCCGAACCTAATACCTATTTGGGTCGACCCAAATAGGTATTAGGTTCGGTCCCTGGTTTTTATTTGTGTTGCATAAGATCAAAACGATTGTCATTTCAATTGAAAATCGCGCTCACCTGTTACAAGTATCATGCCGGCGTAAATAGCACCTTTGAAGCCCATGTTTTCTTCGATATCCGACTTCAAGGGAAACAAACTATCCAAGTAAGGCTCTTCAAAGGTAGAGAAATGCCTTGATGGGAAATGGAACAGAGAGCACTCAATTTAAAAGTTGTTGATCAAAATCAAGGTACTAAGGTATTCAAATATTGTGTCCTTACCGTTACGCTAGTTTACAATGGAAATTTTTCATCGCAATCGAAGGTTAACCAATGAGATTGAAGCGGACGCCGACGATTTTGACGCCGACGATCTTGGAGAAGGGATAAAAAGAAAGCATAGAATTTAGATAATTGAGAAAGGTTTATTTTACAGCTATCTCAATCCCTTGGAAGGACCGCGTTCGACAAATTCACGACTAAATGGCAGAGTAATTCATTGCGTGTTGTTAGCCTTGCGTCATCAGTCTTAGTCGAGTAAATCCTTTTTGTAATAGAGTATTATTGAGTCAGCATGTACTCTGATGGCCTCAGGACATAATAAACTCCTCGGCTCATGGCAAGCACCATAATAAATTAACCGACCTATTATTTTCGAAATAAAAATTGTAAATACACGAAAATTAGCCGACTTGATTGTGCACTCGTCCTTTCCACCTAACAGAACTTCAATTATTATAGAAGTTTGCGGCCGAGTATATTAATTATTTTTAATTACTTGAAAACACAGGTGTTCTTGCTTCGTAAAAGTAGTCAGAGCGGTTTTCAAGCCTTGAATTTATTGGGGCGCCTGACAATAACTCTGTGAAATGATTTCTTATTCCCTCTCCCCTCTAAAACTAGCAGCTTCTATCAATGCTCATCAATATTGTCGCCATTGTCAAAGTTCGAATCAATATCAATTGTTTGTCCTTTATTTAAAATATGCAAAACAGCGTGTTTACAAGTCCAGTGTTAGTCATGCAGCACGACTCCATAGTGATCCTGCCCCTGTTTTGTATTTCAAACAGTTTTTCTCTTCACGATCCAATGAGTACTCATCATGGCGGCGATGGTATCTCTAAGATTAGTATTGCGGCCATGAATCCTTTCGCAGGTGCAGCCCCACAGTTAAACTGTGGACTTACCCGTGTTCGGGCTATAGGCATATATATATATATATAACTGCAGACAGTGCACACTGTTTCGACCTATGTGGGTTTCATCACTGCAGTGCAGACACTGGGCCAAGCTCTGGAATAAACCATTGCCTGGGCGCTACACTTGTGAGACCAAGTGCAGGCATCTTGCCATGCGAGAGTGCTCAAATCACAACTAAGGTGATGAGCCCCGCCCGAAGGCTAAGTGCATAGTAACCCCAGTGTAAAGTGCTCAATCGCAAGGTAGCCAAAAGTATAATTTCAGAGCTGAGCAAAGAGTTTCCAGCAATCTGATTGGTCGAACGGTTCCTTATATGACGCTACATAAACCGCGCTACGCGGTTTATATAAAATGTTAAAACAAAATGTTAATAAATGTTACTAAAATGTTATGATATTAGAAATTTCTCGATTGTTCAGCTCTTAAATTATACTAAAACAATTATTTGTCTCAGGTTAGGTGAATATTGTCCTAATAATCCCCTCGACTTCGTCACGGAGATTATATAGAGGATGTTACATGGCCGCTTGGGGATACGAATTTTATCTTCTCGTGCTGAAAGTATCTCTCACTCGTTCGCTGCGCTCACTCGTGAGAGATACTTTCAGCACTCGAAGATAAAATTCGTATCCCCGCGCGGCCATGTAATATCCTCTATTT